ATTTTTAACAAGCAGTGTAACAGTTACGTGAGTGATACACACCTGATGATGGCCATTTAGGGCCGAAACATGTAGTGTGGAGGAGGAAAAAGAAGTAAAAACTACAATAAAATTGTTGCACTTAAGACGGTATTTGTCCATATATATACCTTTTCAACTTTGCAGTTGCAGTTTCATCCTCAGAGGGGCTAGTATCAGGTACTGACAGCTCAGCTATATGTATTTCTATCTGCACAACATCACTGACCCTATGTCCATTCAGAAACTGAGATAAGTAGTTCATCTGCCTATTCAAAATGTGGGAATCTGCAAGCAGATTGCCATTATCATCCTTCACTAAGTTACTTCTGAGTTCGTAACCTTTCTTAAAATTTATTTATTCCTCTATACAGGTCTCTAATATTCTTGCTCTTACTGTTCATTGCAAGTTCATTAATTCATTAATATTCCATCTTTTTATTCTGGAAATACCTGCTGACTTCATGTCTTATATTGTTCAAGTTAACCCAATTTATTTGGTGTGGAACCTGTAACCATTGCAGTTTGCTTGTTTCCTTTGATCTAATAGTTTTGAACATCCTTTGTCAAACCATGGCTTATGATTCTTCAGTTCTTAATAACCTAGACTCTTGTGGCTGAAATTTTGATATTCTCTCTAATTGTTTCCCAAGTCCAGTTAATACCCATGTCATCATCTGAGTTTTCCAACTGTCCTTGATAACTTACTCAGTATATTTACAGTTACCCTCCATGTCTGGAAGTTGTCTCCTCCATTCACAACCCGAGACATGCCATGCTGTGGTGACAGGGGACCCACTTATCTTCCATCAGGAGCAGAAAAATCTGTTGTGACCTCAGTTCTATATGAACATGATCTTTCTATCTTTTAAAGGAACAGTCATGCATATACGGCTGCGTGATATGGAACATTCTGTGCTGAAAATGTTTTGTTGGTATTCCTTTATTTCTTTATTTGTATGTGAAGCTTGAGGCTGGTGTCTTCATTTCTCATGTCATTCAGTCTGTAGTAGCCTGAAACTGGTCTTGGGAAGGTCATCTCTTGTTCATTATATGTATACACACCAACACATGTTGGGAACACAAATTGTCTTTGCACGTTTAATGTAAAATAAAAGCAGTGCACAGAAGCAAGATACATATGACACAGTTGTGCCGCCATCTGTGAGATGAACTCATAACCATTTGGGGTGGACCAATCAGTGACAGCAGTTTTAGCGTTCTCAGGCAGCAGTATTCCATATGTTGGGAAAGGTAAATCATTTATGGTCTAGTTTACAGTGCTCTCAGCACTAGACTGTATGGTAAGATGAATGGGAAAGAATTTGGAAGTACGTGCTTGTGGCCTAGTTGGGGGTACTGTCCTGATGTTTAGCTGGTGTTCCAGCTGAGATCTGAAATGGGCACCTCCTGAGAGCATTACAACAGATGGGAAGATAAGCCATTATATGTAAATGTCTGGGGATGTGTGCATCCTCACATTGTACAGGAACACAGGAGAGACAGTCCAGGGGAAGGTGTTATGTGGTTGTTTGTTTATTCCCTCTTTCTCTGCTCAGAAGAAAGTAATGTCCACCAGTTACGTGGATATGCATGAGTGCTCAGTCTGTCCACATTTGAAGGTACTGGGGCTTAGAATTGCAGTTACCAACATCATGATTGCTGCTTCTGTTGGAAGCATTGACATTGGACCATTGGCAGTGTATGTGAGGAGGTGCTGAATATCATTTAGACATTTAACATGTAACAGATGGTGCTCATGTTGAATGTATTTAAGCAGAATTTAAACTTAGTGAGTTTGTTTCATAGATGGCACAAGCCATAGTGTGGTGTCTTGTTCTTGTGCTTCTCCATTCTAAATTAAAGCTGTAAAGATATGTTCACTCTGCATATGAATTGGTTATACTGACTGACTCACTGACTTTATGAATACAAATTGAAATTACATATTTGCATTGAAGTTGATAGTGAATCAATAGCCTGTAATGAGTATGTGCCTTGTTTGCCCTGTGCTGCATAGACAAGCCCGCAGTGCAGGTGGTCACAGGAAAATGCCTGCATCATCAAAACACAGGTTAGAAGGCTGCTGTTCTTTTTGCATGGTTTCATAGAAGTGTCATGCTCAGTACTTCATACATTTCAGTTTATCTTTTTAACCAAGACAAGGTGTATTTTTTAATATCTCTTTCTTTCAGAAATGAAGTAAGATTCAAGTGGAAATTGTCTGTTGAATTGTAAACATTTTCATAGCTGTTAACTTTGATCGTATGGAGCCATTGGGAATAAGAAAATATTGTTAAGTAGGCTAAGGAAATCCAGTATTGTGACCATTCTGTTCACTATGGAGTTTCAGGAAGTGGCTCTTGATCTTGAGGTCCATTTTGTATCGACAACAACCATCAAATGCAGTTCATATTTCTGATATGTATATTTGGTTGTCCTGGGCCACAGTTAATGGCATTTCTGAAAAGAAAGATGTTAGCAGAGGTACACCAGAGTTGCTACCTGTTGCTCACTGTCACTGTCAAGAGTAGTAGCTTCTGATGTGCAGTGTTACTGAGTTCCTTTCTGTACCTGTCAACAATCGAACAGTTATTGCGTTTTCTTTACTGACACTGAGTATAATTATGACTTGTTGTTCGACAGTCCGTCAAAGAGTCGAGATAAGCACCATGATAAACACAAATTGTCATCATCTTCAGGCAAGAAGAGGTCTCGTGAAGATAGTGGAAGTCGTGACAAACATAGCAAGAGGAGGTAAGTTTATGTATTCATTAGGGTTTATTTAGCAGCTTCATCAGTAACTGAGATTGTGTAGGCATCAAGTGTAAGGACGACCAGCGAAGAGTGAATCAGAAAGGATGTCGAAGGAAATGATGGGGCCCAGCTGGGAGTTACTATCATTGCAAGGCACAGTAGATCACTGTGGTCGTGGTGCAAGGGCCAAGAAAGCCCACCCCTTATACATTCATTCATGTACTATCATAGCATTTGGCTGGAGGTGTTGAAGAATACCACAGAAAGCCTGTCAGGATAGCCAGTCTCTGGGACAAGATTTGAACATTGGGCCTTCTGAATGTAAAGCAGTAGTGCTGCATGCTGAAGAGCTATGTTCAGTAAGAGGCAAGTTGCTTCCTATTTTAGTGTTGGTTCAGTGTCATGAATGTGTGACTGAGACATGGTGTTTTGCAGGTTTTCAGGTGTAGGAAAAAGTTTCAAAATTTGTGCTGATTTTTACTTACATTAACTTTAGGCCACGCCATAGCTCAAGCGGTTAGTCGCTGGCTTCCCACCATGGCGGCCCGGGTTCGATTCTGGGTCTGGTCAAGTGGGATTTGTGGTGGACAAAGTGGCGCTGGGGCAGATTTTCTCTGAGTACTTTGGTTTCCCCTGCCAATCTTCATTCCACCAATTGCTCGAAATCACCCTCACCTATCACCTGGGGCTGGTACAATAGGCCAGAAGTGGCCGCAATACAAGGGACTTAGTCCCACCCCACTAGCAATAAAAGAAATACATTAACTTACGTTATGTGAAGATAAAATCTTATATGCAAATGTAGGTACAAACCAGCTTGATGCCCAGGCATAATACACATGTATAATTAAGAAGTGTAAGACACTGAAAAGTTACAGTATTGATCTTAATGATATTGTGAACTAATAAAATTGCGAGAAAATTAACTACTCCATTACAGCGGTATCTTAGAATCTTTAACAAGTATGTATATGTTGTGGTGTGCTGCCTAAAAGCCAGAATATCTGAGTCAGTGGGCATCCACTGTTAGGCAACGGCTTGGTATCTACGGTTCTGCATCGTCTGGGTGACAGTTAAACATGTTCATGTGACAACGCATATATAACAGAACGTTACTGTGGAAATGAAAACCAGAACTAGTGCAGTTCCCGCAGCAGTGAATAAACTAGCTACCAATGCATAGAACATGCAAAACAGAACCCTTGAACAAGGTGTCTTCTAGACCAGCCGTGTCAAACATGTGGCCCCCATAGACACAAAGTGCGGCCATTCAACTTTTAGAGCTAATTGATATTAAAATCAATATTACAATTTTAGTAGAAATATTTTTTGTAAAGAGAATTTTCCAGCAGACCAGAAGACAAGAAGGTAAAATTACATGTTTGATTTGTGGGCAAAATGTGTTCCACTTTAGATAATTATATTGAAACTATTCCTAAATAATAAATATAATTAAATTTCCTTGTATCAAAATCTAATGTATATTTTTATTTTGAAGTGTGGCCCTGGACTATTATTTATAGGGCTGAGGTGGCCCTCTGTACAAGTTGAGTTTGACATGCCTGTTCTAGACTATCCAATTGTAGATTAGAACAGAGGCGAACGGAGCAGAGCTAAGAGCATAACAAACCAGCTCAGTTAAGAACCAGAAGACAACAGACTAATCAGGTTACACCATCTGGAAGACATTATTTTTGAGTGATTATAATTGTAATTGTAAATTACTTTTCCAATAAATAGCTTCATCTAATCTGGAACTCATTAATTCCTTGTCACATTACCAGGATACCTGTCAATATAAAATGAAGCATTTTTTCCTAATCTCAGTTGAATGCCAAAAAAATAAAAATAAAAATACACTAGGAGCAGTGGTTTTTGGGCAGTAAGCAAGAGACATTATTGGTGGGGGAAGTTTGTCAAATGTCTGAATCCTCCCCAGAGAGGGCCTCTATCATTACATAAATGATAGTTGAAATAAGTGGAACAGTGTGGAAATGCATGAAGCTCGAGCAAACAAAAAAGCAGACATACACATGGATGTTAAGAGATCCCAATGGTTCATCCCATTGGAACATTGGAGAAGGATAAGATTTGTGAAGCTTACATAATATTGCAGGAGGTTGTAATGTGTAGTACTTGTATATGTGAAAGGAATGTGTAGGATTTGTGAGTGAGTATAGCAACAGGAAAAGAGGTCAGCATGCATAACAACACTGTGATGGCAGTTGTTCATTAGGACTAAAACATATCATTCTCAAATTAGATTAATCCTAAATATTTGAATTATTTTCTTTTTGCAGGAAGTAGAGGTACAGTGGTTGATCTCAACAACTGTGCCAAAATGATTCTCCACCATTCCATCACTGAACAGAAATGAAATGAAATGAACTTGGAGTGTGATCTTCATTGTGCTGTGTTTCCAGGGCCCCTGAGCATATTTCAGAAGTAAGAAACAGCTTTGTTACAGTGTGATATTGCAAGTGAAAGAGGCAGTAACACTTGCTACAAAATAGATCGGGGCTGCAGAAGAGTGGATTCGAGGCTGAATGATGAGTTGTTTCAAATACATTGTGTTTGAGAGGTTGTAGCTTTGTCACATGGTGTAATGTGTAAGTATTAAAGACTACATGAAGCCTGCTTTCTTTCCAGGTACTGAAAAACATTACTGTTCACAGGACTTGTAGAGAGTGAATTTCTGTAAAGGGGTAGAAAGTTATATCAAATGTAACAGAACGTTTTAAAAGATTTCACACATGTAGCCTCTCCAGAAGCTGTTTAAAGTGAGCTGAGGATTTCACAGTTTCTGAATCTGCAGTATGGGAGATAAATATATCTGGAATTGTTATGTCTGAAGTTTCATGTTTACATAATGTGGAAGCTGTACCTTGTTATGAACATGAAACATCCATGTACTTGTACTCATAGAGCAAATAGGTATATTTCTTCATCAAATGTAACTGCAGTAATCATGCTTCAGTATTGATTTTAGGGGAACTGTGGTAAACTATATTTATTACCTGTTCATAAAAACATCAGTTTGTAATTTTAAGTTGTACAGATGGCTGATACAGAACACAAAACAGTTGTTTTAGTGGTAACTCAGTAAAATTTCAAACAACCGTGAACATTGGGACATAACTCTTCCGATCAGCTTTGATAATTCATGTGTTGTAGCCCAGGGATTCTCAGACTCACTTATTCTGCAACTCCCTAAAACAAGTGTATTTCATCTGCAGCTCTGCACACAGTTGCAGGTTCCCATCAGGCTGTACAGTGACAGCAGGAACATAAATACCTTTACCTGAAAATAATTTCTTGGATAGCGAGGACAAAACAAATCTCCGAGTTTTGTTGGCAACCTTCCGCAGCTCTGCTTACTGCACATAGGTCTAGCATTTTGTGATTAGACTTTTACTGTCTCTCAGGAGTTACATTTACTTTCTCATATATGTAGTAAATGGGAGAAAATATTTTGATCATGAAGTAAATTATTCTCAAGATTTTGCTGGATTTACACATTCTCAGCTTCCCCCCCCCCCCAGATTATGAAAAAGTGGTGTGTGGTATGCTGTGGGGGTCTGTGTACATATGTATGGATGTGCACCTCACTAGTGCCTGAATGATTGAATGAAATCTATTTATATTTTGTATTTAATAGTTTGCCTATCCTAGGTCAGTGCCCAGCATGTCTGAATATTCCAGCTCCAAAACTTTTTCTCGAAAAGGGCTCTTGTGATTTTGATTGTCAGTAATTTATGGAAGCATATCGCTAAATAAAAATGGGTGGTTTCTTCAACAAAATAATACTGCACGCACTAGAAGCCCAAATGCAGGATGTGAATTCTCTTGAAACCAGCTTTATTCATCAGATACATTTCATTGTTGTTTGTTGTTCAACATCCGTGCAATGGTTGATTTCAATTTGAAAGTAACATAACCAAGGTCAGTCACATACAGGAAAGTATGTTCACTGTGCATGTACCAATTATTGAATGTGGTGCAGTGTCTTTTTTCCCGTAAACATTACATTGTGAGAAATTTCTGCACTGAGGTTTGAAGATATCACTGCAACTGAATACAGTGACATCTTGACCAATCATAACTGTCAATATGGCAGTGGTATTTGATGTTTCAGAGACACTGTCTGTCTGCATGTCACTATTGTGACATGAATGTGCCTTCTGGGATAAATTCCTGGGAGTGTGTGTGTATGTGGAGGAACTTCACACTAAACAAGAACCTGGATTTGTGTGAAATTCTTGTTTTGCATTTGTTTCCACATTAGACATTAATTGATTATATATCTGCATATTCTGCAGACTGGAGATATGTTATGATGCAGATGAGTATATTCCTGTTGAGATCTGCAGCAGGCATTGCTGGGCTATGCAGAATCTCTTCTTTGTTTACACATGACCCAAGTGAAAATGTCAGGATGTACCATTTTGGTACCTCTGTCCATTTAAATATGACAGTTTTGTTTCATTTCTATTAGGTGCCTAGTTGTAGCAGCGAAACAAAACAATTTGGGCATTCTTGTACAATGGAATGTCAGCACAACAAACTTCAGCAAGTTTATTAAAGTGAAGTTCTGTGTAACACAACTTGCAAATTACACAGTTATGTACAAATATCATATTTGCTTCATTCTTACTTATTTAGGTCTTATTAAGTGAGAATCATTTCCGGTAGTGACATCTATCTGCTGTAATTTTCTGCATGAGAATTTTATAGTGTGAAACTCTGAAATGTGCTTCGGCCTTGAAAACATTCTTGAAAACATTCACTGTAGAGTGCTACTACTAGTAATGTACAAACACTGACTCAGGCATTTTATTTATTTTCTGAGTATGGAATGTGAGATGACCCATATTTTCTGATTCCAAAGTATGAAAAAAGTTATCTTACATTTGGGTATATATGGTATATGAAATTCCATATTGGCCTAGATTTGATGCTGTAGATTTGTGTTCAGGAGGTGCTTAGTTCGAATCTCGGTCAGGACATCAGCTATTCTGATTAGTTTCTTTCCCCCTCAATCCCTCCAGACAAATTCCAGAATAGAGTGACAACCACTTCCTTCCAAATCCTTTTCTGTTCATCATTCATCTAATCGTATCATTCAGTGCTATATAATCTTGATACTGAAATGGCGTGGTTAAATGACCCACAAAAAGAAAGATATCCATGTTGGTATCAGATCATGTCAGTATTGAATCATTTTACAGGTTTAGGGATTTATTTTTTAATTGTTCAACTGCCTAATTAAATTTAGTTTTGAACAACATGTATTGCTTTTATTTGTTTTCAATTTATCATAATAACTACAATGGAAAGTTAAAGTAAATGAAATTTTCGGAAGTCTTCAAGTAATGTATCCACTCTTCAGCACAGTATGTTTCTTTCTTTGTGTTGTACAACTGTCAGTACTTTTCACACATTTCTTTCTTCCTAATAACAAGTTTCAGCTCCTTAAATTTTCTGTGACGGGCGAAGTTCTGGTAGGTTGTTACTTCTGAATAAACATGAACAATAATATGGTGCCTCTGTTTTAAGTTATTTTTCTTGACATACTGTGTCAGTTATCAGTATGTACTCATCTTCCTAGTGAATGGAAGAAATGTTGCTCTCGTTTAAAATGTCTGCTTACCTCCAGTAGGTGAGATGGCCTTTGTTAACACTGATGAAGTCAGTTTTAAAGAAAGTTGACATGATTACTGAAAGCTTCACTTTTGATATGAAATAAAGCTGGCAAAAAAAGAATTTGTAGTTGTAATATGAACTGTTCCTGTTCTATGGAGGGGTTGAGGGAACTGGATAGCTTCAGTCTCTCATTGGACTGAAAAGTCTTTGTTACTCAGGCCTGGACAGGGGAAGAAGCTGTCTTGGCTTTCAGGCAGGGAAACTTTGTTGTGCTGTTAAAGGATGGCTTAGTGGCATTGGAGAACTGCTCAGAGAAGAGTAGATGAAGAAATGAGTTAAGGATACTTGGCCTTAATTTGAACGTCTTACAAAATTTAAAAAAAATTTTTTTTACTGTTGCATGAACACATGTTTGGTTTGTTCTAAAATACGTTAGAATATGAACAATTTACACATTTTTAGGCTTAACTAAGAGTTGTTTTCTAGTGAAGAGAGCGATTGTTGTTAACACCCTTTGGAAGTTAGAAAGCAGCTGCCCAAGTACAATACCAGTTCTGCAGTATCACTGCTGTGTTATGTAATTATGAAAAAGTAACAAAGGAATACACTTAGGGTTACAGACATAATATGAAGTGGTCTTATGATTTTGAGTATGTCCTGTAACAAGTTGTGCCCCTCTAACTTTAGGTTTTGGTCTTCCTTGAATAAAGTGATGACAAATTTCAGAGTTCTTTGATAGTTTGTCAGTTCTATATGTTGATCAGTTTCAAATCTCAGTTATATTCCCTTTTGGGAAACACATATAGGTCTGACTTTGTCCTCTCCAAGTGCTTTACCATGTTTTATTTTATTGAGGCTTAATTTAGTTTTCACTGTGCTCACCATTTCAACATTTTCATTGTAACTTCACTGTTGTTTGATTTCTGTTTCTTTTTTAGCTATTATGACTGCTTAAGTTTTTGTATGTTTGTAAAAATATACTTTCCATGAATATTGAATATTTACAGCATATCTCATAAACCTACATTTCCATAGATCCTTTCACATTCCACCTTTCACGGATTTCTATGATCTCACATAATATAAAATAGAGACTTCTACATTGTTTACATGTCTGTCTCAGTGGTATAGTGGTAATGTGCTCACCATTGGACCCAAGACTGAGGGCGATGATAACCTGTAGCACAACTGACTTTGGAAGGGAAGTAAAGCCAAGGGCCTCATGCCATACATTTACTGTACTTAAAAATAACCTTACCCAAGTATTGTCTGAACAGAAAATGAGTTAAAAAATACACCAACCAGTTGAGGTTAAAAGCACAAATTACTTGATTGATAAAGTGCTTCATTAGAAACAAACTCAACCTCATTCCATAGATCCTGGTGTTACATGTGTGTAACAGGTTGATGTGCAGTACAGTATCACTGAGGTCTGTACTCTATATTTTCCCTGTACATACTGTGTAAGACCCTTTCATATGAATGAATGCCTGACATGAATACAAGATGGATTTATAATTAAACAGTTTATTACAGTCTTAATCTTTCCTCAGCTGTTAGTATGAATTTGTCAACAGTGTAGAAGCTGCAAGTAAAGAGGATTTCTTCCAATGGTACTTCTCTTGAATCAGTAGTGAATCCCCCACCCCTACTCAGACTTCAAGATTGTTTTTCTGTCATTATTAAGTGCAATGTTCCCAGTACCTACAGTTATGTTCTCCAGAAAAGTTATTAAATGACTTTCTGTAACTGTTCATTTTCACTTAGAGAATTCTTGTTCATCCAAGGATATGATCAGTGGTCTTTCAGACTGAAAGCAGTCATATTGCCTCAGTTTTGGTAGCCTCTTCATAGAAGATGGTGATATATATCAGCTGCCCTATAAATTTTCAAGTGAGTTTCATCTTCATGTAGGGTACTTTTGTTAAGTTTGAGTGTGTCAATGAGTTTGAATAATGGGTTGTAAATCAACCCTTAAAAGTGTATAAATAAAGCATATAATCTTGTTAGAAATGAGTATTCACTTGCCTCTCATTCATAAAGGAATCCGCGGAGAGACCCTTAAAATTTAATGGTTTCATTAGCTCTTCATGTTTCATGTCATACCTGTCTCACAGTAGCTACCGCTTACCCGTTCCCTGTCTTGCAGTCATTTCATCTCGACAACATTGCCGTTACTTTTTACTATGAATACTCATACGTAAAAGGGTAGTGCCATGACAATTTAAGACCTCCAGCTTTGAATTGGAAAAACCACGATCTTCAGTCACTGAATCTTTACAGTTTTCTGAGTTTTGCCAACTAACTCGCAATCCGAGATCTACGACCCTGGAATTACAGAACATTCCTTTGTTAACATGCAATACACATCATTCCTTTTGCCGAATGCCACGGGTAAGCGAAAACTGCATATAATTAATATCTTTACAATCTGAGCGAAAGAACAGTTCACAATGCACCCTGTTATTACGTAATCATAACACAGTTATCATATGAAAGTACGCATCATGTTCAACGATAGGCAAACAGCGTAAATTGTTTTATCACCGGATTTCAGAGGCACGGATTACTGAACAGATGTGTAATGTGTAATCCGTGATAGTGTGCACATGATGTAAAACAGTTTCATATACTATTCGTAATACTTAATGTAATGGTGCTAGTATTTACAAACGAGTTTTACCTATCGTGAAGGAATACATGGTGTTTCTGAATTATTGATTTCTATTACTATTACTTAATTCGATAATAATTTTCCTTTCGAACTTTACATGCGTTTGGTTTAATACTTCAGATGTTGGCAACGTGTGGAACTTTTGTGCCGTTTGTGCTAGTATGACAGAAGTCTCTGTCACGATCGGAAATGTTGTTAAGTGATTGTCGATGTGTCTCTAAAAATAGGGCAGATTTATTCATAGACTGCAATGGATGTAATATAATAATGTAATACGTTTTCGTGATATTGATGGACGAATAGTCGAAATTGCTGGTGTACAAATTAATGGAAAAGTAAAGGTAATGCCGACAGTTAAAAACTATGAAACTACGTACGAATATGTAAATCACTGAACTGTGAAGGTACAGCTGATATGAATGTTCATTTAAAATTCCGAAGACTTAAGAATTTGATAATTTGATGTTATGAAAGTAAGCTGAAGTAACGTAAAGTGAATTGTGAATTTTGTCATGTATCAGCCACCCATTGCGAAATCTGCTGGCATGAATGCTCATAATTGTTCCCAGAAGCATTAAAGAAATAAGACGTTACAAAATACATATGCCCTGAGGGGTGGGTCACCGATTACTTTTTGATAAGATCAATAATTATCATATGATACGTATTCTGTGACCGGTGTTTTCTTTTTGATTAAGTAGTGTATGTAGGAACTGAAACATGGGTTTTCGTTCACATGAAATTCAGTAACGACCTTGAAGTGTTCGTTAATGAGGAGGATAATCAAACATCATGTTTACAATTGTGCTTAATTATAAGAAGGTTCATAAGAAGTTTAAGTTTTATTATAATTAACGTTTTGATCAGTAACTAATAAATGTGACAGCAGTATATTTTGTAGAAAATGAAGGGATTTTCGATTAGGTAGCCTTTGTTTGATTGGTATGTGATCAGTTTTTAGATACACTTTCTTACTGGGTTGAACAAAACTCCCAAACTATGGCGTTAAAGTCATAGATGTTGTCTAAATAATACTTTTTTGTGCGTCATGAATTGATAGTACCTCTTGAAATATGTTTTGTATGCATTTTGGTGTGTAAGATATTAATCACAGCATTCACAGTGTCATACAATTAACCTCAGTTTTCATTGAGTTTGGAGCCAAACTATCCTTTGCGGAATGTGACCACTAAAATAGGTAGATCCCATGGAGCTTAGTAAGTAGGGTGTAAAAGAAATGAAGATAACAGTACATCACATTCAGAAAATACTATAAATATAATACAGTTACAGATTGTATCCCATACCCTACTGTCCTAATTGCATTATCAAATGTTTACATACTTACTAAAACTAAATTGTGGATGGTTTCTGTGAACATTGTGTGCAAATGCCACATCACTACCCTTCATTTATATTTTCCTACATACTGGACAGAATGTATATTAAGTAGCATATAAATTCATTCATATGTGATCCATAGAAATAAGTCTATTCCTAACCACAGCAACAGCATTTGTAAGATACCTTTTGGCTGCGCAGATACCATTTTGAGGAGTAACTTGATTACCAGCTATCAACAGTCTTACATATAGTAACAGATGTACATTGGACATATAGCTTAATGGGCACATGGTAACATAGTTGGTTGTGGCACTATTCCACAAGCTGGAAGGTCATGGGTCTGAGTCCCTATGAGGTCATTGGTTTTTTCTTCAATTGACCTAATCTTTCCAGCCGCGCTATGACCATGGGGTTGAATCAGCTTCTAACAGAAATGAGTACCAGAAATTTTCCTGGAGGGGAGTAAAGGGCCACAGGCACATAAGGCTCACAACTTCACCATTTGTGAGCCGATTGTCTAGATAATATGGGACCCTCAGAGTTTCACAAACCTATGGGGCCTTGATGGCCTGTTATAGGGATAGCTTTGCCTTTTTCTTTTTGACCGCTACAATAGTAATAATTACCTTATATCTTCACCAAGCAGGATCAAATATTCAAGTGGGATTAAGCAGTAATAATGCCAAAATCATATTTAATCATTTACAATCAATGGAATTATTGGATTTACAGTTCATATTAAAATCTGATCAAAATTATTAGGAAAAGTCACTTAGCTCTTTGTTTGAGGTGAACCCTTAGTAACACAGGTCCATATTTAGCCAAAGTGATATTTTGTATTTGCATATGCAGTCCTTTATTCTGTTCCTTAATGACCTGTTCCAGCAACATCGCTTTGCTGTTCATAAGTGAGTGCAGAGTATTACTTTATTACTTGTTGCAGCATGTAACGGGCGGGATGACAGAGCACACTGTTCATGAGTGGTTGGTCGATTACAGTGCTCTCAGCCCTGTTGAGGTGCACAGTTTTGCCAGTAGTCTGGAGCACAATCAGGAGGTAGTGGCCGCTTTGTACACAGTTCTTGAAGAGCGGAACAAATACCAGGAGGTACGTTCATATATGTCCCCTGACCTCTGAAATAAACAGTCACCATTCTGTAGCCAGTAGTAACAGAATCCATTTAAATTCACTTTCAGTCATAGTCTTACGGTATTTTCTCTTCTGTTTGATTTACTTTTAATGTAATTATGATACCCATGTGTTTCTATTTCAGAAAGGTTTTTTTTACTAGGTTATGAATTTTTAAAGACTTCAGAAGCTAGTACTGTGAGGAAGTTCAAACATTGTGAAACAGGAGAAATATAGAATGTCAGCTACTAATTGTATATTTACATCTTACAAGGAAATGTGTCACAGTAACATACCAAGGACTAGGCCCAGTTTCCAAAATTAAAGTATAAGAAACTCCAAACTGATTATAATCACACTTCTGTAATAATGTAGATGGACATTAATGGTTCTACCATTTACCTGAAAGACAGTTTCCCTTTTGTGTCTTTAATTTTATATTAATTGCTACAGACAAGACAGTAATCTGATAAACTTACTGATTCTGTTTGGGAAAAGGAAGAATTGCCTCGGTGATGGAGGAAGTGTACTGTTGTACTTGTTTATTGGAAAAGTGACAAACGTGACTGTAATAGTTATTGGGGAATCAGCTGCATACAAAATTCTGTCCAACATTATTCTCCCAAGGTTAACTCCACATGTGAATGGAAGTATTGGGATGCTTTGAACCGTCCTTTTTTGGCCTTACTTATATTTGGTCATGTTGTGGATGGGAATGACTGGAAATTACTTTACAACTTTCCTCCCATGTATAAAACTGTATTGTTGGTGTCTTCTTCCATGTTCCGTAAACATGCTTAGTCACTTCAAACGAATGACCAGTACTGCTTGTTAGTTGGCACTTTGTGTTCTTGCTGGATATATCACACCACATCATGCACCCCACATGGACTCCTGTGTTTCAGGTGGTAGGTTGGTCACTGGCATCATGCCTAGTGCTATGCCACACATGACATGCTAAGCAAAGCATGGCCTTTGTGCATGTACCCTTAGAGTGAGTTACCCTTAACAAATTTGAAGAAAATCTGCCTAGTGTTATAGAGCTGACCCTAAGTCACGGACAGGCAGACAGGGTATTGCAGCATGACCTCCACATAATGCGTGGTGTTCCTTACTTTGTAAAGAATACCTAAAAATGGGAATACAGTGAGACAGTACAACAGCCATTTATAGACTTCAAAAGTGCCTGTGATTCAGTTAGAGACAGACGTGCTGTACGGCATTTTCATTGAGTTTCATGCTCCCATGAAACTAATTAAAGGTAAAGTTATCCCTGTAACAGGCTGTGGAGGCCCATAGGATCATGAGATGTTGAGGCTCCCACATTTTCTAGACAATTGGCTCATGTGGTGAGGTTGTCAGTCTTACATAGTGGCCTCCCTTTACCCCCAGGAATATTCCTGCTACTCATTTCTGTTAGATGCTGAGTCAGCCCCAGGGTCATAGTGTGGCTGGAAGTATTAAATTGAAAAATCCAGTGACCTCATCAGGAATTGAACCCACAATCTTCTGGCTTGCAGCATAGTGCCTCAGCCAATTAAGCTACAGCGTGCCCCCCATGAAATTAATTAGGCTAATTAAATTGAGACTGATAGTAATGTCCGAATGGGTAAACAATTGTCTGATGCATTTTCCCATTCAGGATAGTTTATCTAGAATGCACCATTTTGAAGGTCTGAGAAAACTTGGATTAAAATTGGATGGGACACATCAGCTTCTGGTCTATGCTGAGGATGTTAATTCATTTTCCAAAAGCATAAATATTTTAAGAGAAATGCAGAATCCTTGGCTGACACTTGTATGGGTATTTGTCTAGAAGTAAACACAGAAAAACTAAAGTATATATTGATTTTTTATCACCAAAATGCAGGATACAGCCATAACATAAAGACAAGTAATAGAGCCTTCGAAAATGCAGCAAAGCTGGACTGGATTTATATGTCAGGATAGAGACTGCTTGTGTAGTCTTGTGAACACAGTAATGAAACTTTGGGTTCCATAAAATGCTGGGTTTTTCACAAGAAGCTGAGCAACTGTTAGCTTCTCAAGAAGGACTCAGCTCAGTTGAGTTAGTTGGGTGATGATAATGACAGTGAAAAAATCAGTGTGTGCATGAATCCAGCACATGAGCCCATAAGCTGAACTGCAATGTGTTGTACAGTGAACTAGCATTACTGAAACGTGGCATTAACAGCACACGGACTGGAAGTCTGTGTAGCGGGAGATTGGGCTTTGTGAATTCTGCCCAGAGCCTCTTGTTATTACTGTTTTACCAATACAGTAAACCCTTGCTAATCTGGAGCAATTGGGGGGGGGGCCGGATTAAGCAATAATCCAGATTAGTGAAGCAAAAGGTAGCGCCTAAAAACAAAAACAAATAAAAATTAGAACACAAAAAAGGAAACTGTAATGATATAAATTGTGCCACTGAAATGAATAAAAAAATTTCAATGTAGAGCCTGCATTTACTGCAAAAAGGCAATACGTTTATTTATCGATAAAGGGCTCAGAAGTTGTACTTGTTTTTGAACGTAACAATGCAGGTTTGAAGAAACTGTCAAGTTTTGTCTGAACAGACAAGTACCTTTTATATTATATACTCAACTGTGAACAGCATTTTCATATTTCAGGCCATAGTATCTGACATCTGGAGTAACTAACTGGATTAGTGAGGCTTTACTGTTGTTATTTTTGTGTAATTATTCCAAAGAGCTAATGACGTGACATGCCTCAACACTGTACACTGCTGACACTGGTTTAGCCTATGCCATCATATTTTGTTTCCTTGCAGTTAATTGATCGTGTATGCAACCAGCTGTTCGGGTTTTACCGTTCACGTGAAACAGAACTGCAGAGGTTCACACTCCAGTTCCTACCTACACTCATTTTCGTGTACCTGAATTCTGTCGCCCATGGGGATAAGAAGGTACCACTTGATGACAGAAAACTAATTATTTTGTTCATTTATCTATTTTCACTTGTCTGATATGATATAAAAATTTAAATTCATGTTTATTTCATATTTCGTATCAAGGACTTAATACAGAACATCCACAGATATGAAATTCACTGTGTATTCTTGGTACATGTACAGTAGCCATGGCTGTTAAAGCAGTGTACGAGTATTGTGATTGATATTTTGGATGTATTTCACACCTAAATTCCCAGTCATTTTTATTTACAAGAATGAAATTTCTTAATCTGAGTGTTAGGCCAGTATATCCTCTTCAGAAACACGGTGCTAATAACTGTGCCATCCCACTCCACCAATTGAATCATCTGTAAAACCATCAGAATCAGACTTTGCACATGGGGTGAGATTATAAGATCAGCTTAGTGTGGAAAACCATTGTCCCTCTTTTACATGTTAACCATGACCCAGAAACAGGCTCAACAGCACTATTCATGGACTCGTTTTTATTTTGTTTGAACTTTAAATGGAAGAGTCAATTTGATAAAGATTTGTTGCTTATTCATATCTTCTGTTAACATGTATTGACAGTTTCCATTAGAAAGATTGCATTTTTTTATACAAATTGTAAATAGTGAAACACCTGTCATGTGTTAGCTATCAGATTCTCTTAAACATTTTTATGAATTCTGCTTGTGAATTTTGTTCACTGCATTGTTGGTGTTACATGAAAGTTTGTCCATTTTTTAATATTGAAAATCCTCTTTATGTTGTGCTCTTGATGGTACAACTTCCCAAAGGCTGTTCATAGTGTGTTTCAGAGAATGTTGTTTCAGGCTTTATACAAAATATTCTAGAAACATTCTAGAAACATTCTTCTTTTAATGAAATGATCATTTTAGTAATTTTGAAAGATATACATGTCTTTTCCAAACAGATTCACATATGTGACTGAAACAACATAGAATGGCATACATGGTACACGTACTGGCAAAAGTATGCTCCATCACCACCTCACTGGAAAAGTTGCACTTTATGAATGGCTATATTAGAGGAGCATTCTAATAACTTTAGGTATATCACCTTGTAACTTAAAATTGAATATCACTCAGGTATATTGCATATTTTGGAATTGTAGCAGCTCACATGGTATTGTTGTAGTAGCTGTTTCTGTTTCTTTTTCAGAGCTGTCGCAGTGTTGAAACACTACTCGTTGGGTTATATAACCTGGAAGTGGTGGATGAAAATGGACAGCCTAAGGTTGTGTCATTTCGTCTTCCATCACTGGCACAGGCCTCCATTTATCATGAGGTATTGGCTTAGAAAGTTAACTCACCGCAACACTCGTGATTCTGTGAATGTCTGTGAGAATGTTTTGATATTCTGCACCATTGTTATGTTCGGCAGTGTGTGTTATCTGAAGTATACACATGTCATGTACTCAGAATTTTGGAAATTGCTCTGCTCTCATCTTCATGTGACTGCTGTTGTGCTGTTGGATGTTTTACAATTATACATTCATCATCCTACCATTCACTTCTGCATAATATAAATAAGGGGTGGGGAAACTATGGCCTGCTGCCTGGGTCTGGCTTGTGAGAATTTTTAATCTGCCATATGGAGCTATTTTGAAATTTTCCCTACAATACTATGACATGATAACGTTCATTAATAGGGAACACCATGAAAAATACATATTTTTGGCAACAGACACACCCACAACACAGTGGAAGTACTGTTGAGCTCAGTGTTGCCTTGGCAATTAATGAGAAAGTAGTAGAACCATGCCAGATGAGTCATTATGTTCTAATTATCTGAACCTGCAACTTAGCAGTGAGGATTTTGACTACAGAGCACTGAGGACCTAGGCAAGAATGATCTGACAGCCTGTGAAACCCTGTGAATACCTGTACACTACTATAAAGATTTGTAAATAAGACTAGTCAGTGTCAAGTGAAATACAATTTCCAAAGCAGACCCATTTTGCCATCACTGTCACATGACACTTGGTGTCAGAATTGGGGTTGTTTGATTGAGGACTGTGGATTGTTGATGCGCAGGGCTTAAATGGAACTTTTGGGGAAGCTCTTTATGGACAGGGCTATGAATAGTCTGGAACACAGGAAATTCCCAAGAAAACCTGACTGTCATGGTAAGAACTGGCTGAGAAAAGGGGTGGGGGGGGACTGTAATAAGTGCCATCCCATCTGGTCAGGGCCATTGCGAGGAATTTGGCAGTTAAATAAGGGGAGCAGGGTGAAAGTTTGAAACACAAGTGGCAGAAGGTGAAGCCTGAACAGGATGTGCTTGACAGGGTCCTCAGCCAGGTCTTGAAGGTAGAGGCTGTGAAGGCTTTAGCTGGGTTACCGTCAGGGCGGTAAGATTGGACCACTGGAGGGACTGAGAGCGCCTGCTTGGATAACCTGTATGCTGGCAGTGGGGGGGGGGGCATCAGCCACTTTACAACAGACTGCTGACAGGAATATTCCCAGAAGGACTGCCTGAAAGGTGAAGGTTGAGTGGAACCCAAGAACCATGTTGGAAAGGATGTGAAGAAGGCACTGGTGTCGTTATATCTGCCCCCTCGTGCCACACTCCATATGTCGACAAAGGAGAGTGATGGTAGCCTATATGCCAAGGGCCGGGTAGCTAACCATTGACACTGGAATACATGCAATGATTGGTGGGCCAGACATTGTCACAGGACCGCGCGACAGAGAGCCGATCTGGCCCTACAACGTGCAGGTGGCATAAGGGAAGCCCCACTCTGTCTTGAAGGAGGCACTGATAGAACTGACCCTGGGGTGGTGCCCTCTGTGGACTTAGGTTTACATTGCTGATATCACCTATGAGTTCGTCTTGGAACTGGATGTGTTGCTACCCACGGTGCATCTGAGGATTTTGAGCACTGTGTGCTGTGACTGGGCAAGGAAGGAGGAGGAGGAGGAAGAGGAAGATGTTAGCACTGGAGGACATCAACCCTGAGGCAGTATCTGATGAAGTTGATGTTGATAATAACATGATGAAATGCAGTGTCACTGAATTATACTGTTTTTGAGAAAGTAGCCAGAGAGTAGTAGGCCTGAATAACTGTTGCAGTATATGCCCACATCATCATCATCATCATTTTTGGCATTTTGTTGCCCATAATATCTTGCAAGCATGGTTTTATATTTCTTGGGGGAATTCCCAGTAGGGCTGGAGTGCTATGTTTTCCTCTGCTAAACACGTCCAGATGACAAGCCAGAAATGGACAGGATCCTATGAACGTAAGTTCAAAAGTAGGCCTCCTTGTGAGACAAAGGTGATGTGGCTAGGAATTGAAGCATAGGATCTCTGTATTTTGGCTCTTGCAATGCCCAGAACTGGTCATGTCTTCCAGTAACAGACAGTTCATCATCCAGTTGTGAATCATTAATGGGTTCCACAGTTAATTTTGTAATACATATAGTTCAGGAACTTACATCAGTTTACCAGTGTGTAACAGTGTAAACATATTCTTCTCTATAAATATTCTTGTAAAATGAGTGTAACAAAGAACAAAATAGTAGGAATCACGTCAACTCCAAGCAGTGCCAGTGCTGAGCAAAATATTCAGAATCTCTAATCTGGCCCTTTGCCTTGAAGTCTGCCCCCATGTGGCATAGATACTGACAGTACTGTGAAATTACCCCAAAATATTATTGTTCTTATTTATTTGTTATACAGATTAAAGTACAAGTATTGTATTCAACAGGTGCTCTATATGATCCTGGCTGTCCCTGTTACTATTGAAGTAGAATGAACAAGATCAGCATATTAACCCTTTCACTGCTAGTATGATAAGTAATTCTCAGTACCCTCTGTGCTGAATTATTTTTGAATAAATCTTTTATAAATAATTGAAGTGCAAAGTATGAAAATGTGTGATAAAATGTAACTAATCTTATCTCAGACAGGGAACAGGCAGCAGAAGTTTAAAAAATGTTGAATTATTCAGTATTTTTGACAGGGGAAAAGTCTATTTAAATCAGGGTTGTCCAAGATGGCCAAAAAAGTACATAATTCACTATCCTAGAATCACTGTACTTATATCACAGTCTTATCACTATGTCACGTTTTGACCAAAGTCCACAACTTTATTTAAAACTATTATAGAAAGCACTGCACATTATATGAAGCCATTTTTACTAGCCCTGTGAAATACTTGTGTCACATGACCATGGAGCGTGTGCCTCGCTGTGCAGATGCAACCTTTTACATTTCTTAAGCTAGAGGGCAGAAGAATGCAGCCATTGAAATGAATGATGCTTCATTACGTTCCCAATAGATGACTCTGTGCACCCGCCCAGTTTGAATGAGATTGGTTCAAAGAAACCTGAAATTTGGAACTCTTAAAGTCGCAATACGGGTTTTGTCAGTTGCAGCAAGGACGTCATGTTTTTCAGAGATCGACATATGTCGACCGCAGCAGTGTAAGGGTTAACAGCAGCCACCTGAAGATGAGAATAGGGCCATTCCCTGAAAGTAGTCCCCCTCCCCCAGATATACCTTAGAGAGTGTCTAGCAAATATTAGTGTAACGTAGTCCCCTTTAGCATAACGCATCTTAGCATCCTGTTGCAGATGGTATTGGAATTTTTTTTTCAGTTGTTCACCATCCACCATGCAACATTCAATAAAGTTTATTCCTTTTAAAATTGAAAAATGTAAATAGAATATCACTGATCACAGTAGCACAGAAGGCATATCAGTTCCCCCAGAATTTCAGTGTACCTGATGATGGCCAAGTAACCGAAACATGTAGTGCAGTGACAGATTTTAAAAAACATTTAATTATCTTGATATTTTTGCATGATGGACAGTAAACTGCTGAAAATCAATTTCCTTCAGCATATTTCTCTGTTATACAAGGAGAGACATGATTATGTTGCAGCCAATGAGTCTGGCACCATGTTCCCTGACGGAAAGCGCACTGCGGAGGTTGGAAGAATGCAACACAAAGCTGGTGAGCTGGGGACCACTTCCTCAGGTTGAAGCACTTAATGCTCAGAACAGACTCACAGTAATGACAGCTCTCCTCTTTGTATATAACCGTCAGTTGAGTCTGCTGCACAAGTCAGCTCTTGAGCACGTCTGCAAAGTCTCTTCCAAGTAAGTGGTCTTACTTAAATAGTGGTGATGATGTTAATGAAATTTGTCTTTTCCTGAAATGTAATACCAACATTATGCTATAATCATGAATTCCCACCATTGTGGGTCATCATATCTCAGTCTCTCCTCCATTCCTTTTTGATTCTCGTGAGAGCCTCCCTTGTAACTGTGTCTCCTCTTTGTCATGTTTATTTAATATGAAGAGAAGAGTTTGTTCTTTGCCCAGGATATGGTAGCTTTGAGCCATCCTTGCCAAGTAGAATTCAGGAGGGCTGCAGCTGTTGTTCATAAAATGGTGGTGGGTATGGGTGCTTCCAGGAGGTGGGCTGGGAATTGAAATGGCTAGTGCTGAATAATAAAACCAATACCAATCATGGCAGCAAAAGAAGAAAAAAGGAACTTGGAACCGAAATGTCCAGAATGTGCACGGTTAAAGCAGATTCTTGCAGATGATAGGTAGCAAACTTGAACTTGAACTCCAACCTGTTGGTTGTTCAGCCTGTAGCCAGTTGCTATAGCAACTACATTATCCGGGTTCCTCTGCTGTGTTAGGTTCCAGGTAAGAAACTCAATACACGCCTTAAAGAGAATGAACTATATACATTGTCCAGAAAGTAAAGATCATTTGGTGAGTAAAAAATTAATAAAGTTAAAAAATTGTTTTATGTCATTACAGTAGATCTCAGATCATTTGTCTATGTAATCTCCATAAAGATTCAGGCACTTGTTGTATCGTGTGACGACACTTGCACGTTACTTTCCATATTACTAGGAGTACAGGGTAAATTTCATATCATTAGTGTTCTCTGTTAGGTCTGTTTCACACTCACTCACGGAGGTGAGTCCTTGAGAAGCCGCCAATTGTGCAGCGACTCAAGAACTTCCCAGCATTTTATGGAACCTGAAGGTTTGATACCATGTTCATAAAAGCCCTCCGCTGGTCCCTATCCCGATCCAGATTGATCCAGTCCATACTATCCCATCCTATGTCTTTAAGATCCATTTTAATATTGTCTACCCACCTACATCTTGGTCTTCCTAATGGTCTCTTTCCTTCTGGTTTTCCCATGTTAGGTGGGTCCTTTGTCACCATGGTATGGCACGTCCTCAGGTTGCAGGTTGCATTGTTACCCTTTTTAATGTTGTCTAATACTACAGAACATTGTGGAAGAACAATTGAAATGTGTTCTCTGACATCAGCAGCAGCAAACACTAAGTGGTCATAAGAGAAATGAAGGTATTACAGTCAAATTCCAAATTAATATTATATACATAATTTCATATGACTAGAATAAGTATCATGAACCTATTTAAAGGAAGAGATAGGCTGTTGGGTTTAATATATGTAATAGATGATTACGTGGGCAGGGCATGTTGCATGCACTGGAGAAAAGGATATGCATACAAAGTGTTGGCTAGGAAACCACACACAAAACCAACTGAGACTTGAGTGCAGGTGGGGTATTGTACTAAATTGGACCACAGCAAAATTGACCTGGAGTGAACTGAGGGTCCAACAGTAGGCTGTGGTGATAATGGTTTTGAATTCCTGATGATGTAGTTAACATTCTTACAGATTGGTGACTCAGGGTTTCCACAAGCCAGGTCATCACCAGCGTTCATCATATGGGTCAAGCGACTCGACCTTTGTTCCACGGCTGTTGCCACGGATCCCCGTGAGTTCACAGTTCCTTCTGGAGCTGCTTCATGCTGTGTACTTTTCCATGTTTAATGACTACAGCTACATTGCCACACAAGCTCTTGAGGATATATATGGCCGTGCCTGTTATGAGGGGTATGCTCAGGTGGTGCTGGTCACTGGTGCCATCCGAAATTCACTGCAAGTTAACCCATCAGGTACTGAACAACATGCCACTCTGTGTGTGATTACTGAAGACATACATGCATATAGATAGTAGATTTGAGTCTCTCTTGGTGATGGAAGTCAGATTCATGTTCTCTGAGCTGTGACACCATATGGGTACCAACACTTTAGACAAAGCAGTTGCCTCTCTCTCTGAAGCAGAATAACTTTGTACCTCTCTAACATGCTACATGGTGTCCCATCTCAGAAGACCGTAATCTTAAGTATAGTTTGTTAGGGAAGTAGAGTCTAAGAAGTTATCACAGGTTGGATATATAGTTCAAAAGAAATGCATATTGAATTTTATTAGGGAAACCTATTTTTAAAAGAACACCTTGAAGATTGTGATGTGAACAGGGCATAAAAGTATGTGATGATTCAGAGGAATTACAGTGCATACACTGTTTTCAGTTTGTTGTAGCGTTGAGATTTTAGGTTAGAAATATTTTGCTTTCTGTGACATAATTGATAACACCAAGCATGCTGGTGACCTGTATTTAGGAAGTGCCAGTGGAAGTCTTGGCTGGAACACCAACTGTCCTGACCGAGGTATGCCGTGGCTTTGTCAGTTCCTTCAGTCAAATTCCAGGATAGTCCACTGAGTTAGCGCATGACTGCTACCATCTACATCATCTGCAATTCATTACTTCATGCCTTTAAATCGTGCTGTGTAGTCTGAATTGCTGAGAGCATCATTAAATAAACTAGAGACAAAATAAATACTAAAATAGTTATAAATAATTGTCAGACTTACATTGTAGTCAGTCCCAAGGCCTGTACCTGGACTCCAGGCTAAGTGTCTCTCATCTTTACAGTCCATCGAGAGGCCTCCTGAAACATCTGTATCGGTTTTCATACTACCTGAAGCCACAATAAAATTGCAACAATCATGTTTCTGGGGTGCCGATGTCTCTGGCCCGAACAGATGTTTTCTGAGAGATATATTTTATTACTCCCCAGATTCCAACACTAGTTTCGCTCCACTTCTGAGTATTTAGAATTAAAAGCTTTTGTAAGAATTGGAGGGAGGTGAGCCTGATCATGTTCAGAGGGTGTGTTTAGAGGAAGAAGTGGGCTGCATCATTTGCGTTGGTGCACAACACGTCCAAACTTTGTTCCTCCCATGCAAAAGTGTAAGAACCAAATGGGGGACATGGATGTTGATAGCACAGATTGCCACTGGCCTCAGATGCTTGAGGGTAACATTTTGAACAACCCAGACTAGATACCCTTCTGCCTCTATTAGAAATTATAGATTGATGTCTCATCTGACCTACTGTACCCCCACTAGATCTAATTTAATGTTTTGATATTTGAAAGTGTTCCTCTTCATGGTTTAATTTCTGAAACTCTTCATCAAAAATGTTTTGAATTTGGTATCAGAATAACTCCCCATTATCCTCTTACCATTTCTGCTTCTGCTCAAATTTGTTTTAATTTCTTAGCTTTATAAAGTTTCTTCCATGAACTCGCATCCAAGAAATTGGTCTTTTCCATTTTTTTCTGGAATGACCTATGATGATTGCAATGTCCATATTAGGTGAACAGATTTCCTATTTATGTGTGAAGGTTTGGTAAAACTTCACAAATTATCTCAATAATGGCTTGATACACAGACAGTTTTTACAATATTGATCTTAGTAAACTTTAGAGCTTCCCATGTGAAAAGTTCTTTTTATTCGGTTTATGTGTAGCAAAGGAAGAACTATGCTTAACTGTATACAGTGTGCTGAGCTTTTTGACTGCAGAGTGGGGTGTGTGAAGTCTGACTGCATGAGGGCCTGAGATCCCCACAGCAATGTGCATTATGGGATATGATGCCATGTAGTCTGGCAAGTAGGGCGCAACACTTTTGGAGGATCCTCCTGCTATTGGAGTTTGAGGTAGCAGATTCCACCCAAAACAATGGTTCTTTTCTCCCAGACCACATCACGCAAGATTATAACCTTACTGCTTAAGCCTTGAAGTGGTGTATTAAGTCTTACAGTAGTATTTATGTGTGCAGGCCAACCAAGTGACGGACCAATGGGGATCAGTGTAGCCTTGTCACCTGCGATCACCACTGTGACCACAGTTTCAAAGTCAATGATCACCAATGCTTCATTTCGCACCAAGAAGCTGCCAGGTAAGCATTGGTCAATGTTATTTAATAGTGACATGCAAGCTGTTTTCTCTTGTTGTTATGTGTTGCATTTTGTAATTTAGATAGAGTCGCATTTCACAGAGTGAGCATACACAGAAATTATATCTTGCTGTAGTTCTAGTAATATCAGATGGTATTACAAAAATGTTTTGCCAGAAAGGCTCAACATTTGCTTAGTGGTATCCATGGTATGTTCCATAAGATGACAGAGTGCAGGTTGCATGTTTTTGTGTGATTTATATTCAAGGCCTTTGTTCTGAAAGCATTGCAGTACATCAGTATCGGTTGTACAAGTTGCCAAGACATCACTTTCTCTGCTCTGTGCATAAAGAGTTGCAAACAAGTAACAGCAGGATGTCTCGGTCTTGGAACTGGACATTTCACAGTAATGGCTGCAAAAACTGACATACCTTGGTTAATGAAAAGTAAAAAGTTTGAGAACATTTTTGATATTGGTGATGCTTACTTTTGAACTGAAGTTCTCTATTTTTGTAGTGTGTGATAGGAACCCTCTAGAAATATTTTATTTTTTGGTGCGTGGTTCAGATATTTCCACCACACAACTTGTTTGAAATCCGGTGTTTGGAGTGTGGAGACAAGATCTAGCTAACAACATTGAGCAGAGTCCTTGAGAAGGTGATAGCCATTCAGCTAGTCAAGAAATTCCCAGCTGTTTATTTAATACAGAGGTTCACATTAATCTGCCACCACTTGATCCAGGTTGTCTAGAATGTGTTAGTTTTGCAACAGTGAATTTATATATGAAAAAATGAACTTTGAGGCTGCATTTTGAAAATATGTGGATTCCACTGGGATACATACATTTTTCCAGTTTTCTTTAACTGAAAGATTTTCTGGATGTGGTATCAAGATTCTGCTGAGACTGACAGAAACTAAATTTTGCTGTGCTATCTATGTGTTCTGTAGATATTTCAAAATTTGCAGGATTTAGGTTTCTCACGCAGTGGTGATTATGAAGAGTTCTGTGTTCCAGGATGCAACACCTTGGGTTGATTTGAGTGAATTATGTTTTGCTTTGCCCATGATGATAGAATTCTTCATTTGAGAATTTGTTATATTAATTTTGGCTTCAGAAACTTGACATGCAGAGACTACCATAACTTGAGGTAATCTCTTTGTTGTAGACGACATCCCAATCCAGGCACCTAAAGATGAGTCTGGAGGTGAGGGAAAGAATCTTACTTCCATATCGGAAGAACAGGAGGAAGAACGGTTAACACCACGAGGAAACTCGCTTAGAGGAGGTAAAACTCTACCAAAGCTACCAAACTTTCCAGGTCTGGGTAAGAAGGTCAAAGCTGCAACTACAGCAAGTGATATTGGAAGCAAGAAGATTCAGCTAGGTACGAAACCTCTAGCCCGCACATCTGTAGTGACAAATGGGGACTCGGAGCCAGACAAGAAACCTGCAGCAACCATAAGCATAGACAATTCAAATGGACCTCTGCCATTGGATGTAAATGCTACAACCAATGGAAGTATAAGCTCAGAGCAGGATCGAGCCATTTCAGAGTCACCGGCAACAACAAGTGAACTGAGCGGACCGTCTGACACACAGTCTGTATGTACGGCTGACTCAATTGACCTGGATGATGCTAGAACACTTAAGAAACCATCTTTGGAAATAGAAAATCGGTCCGCTGTTCAGGTCAGCTCTGTGTAATTACTATAATGTAATTTCTGCCAGACCAGATATATATCCACTAATTTGAAGTGAAATATTGGTTATGACTGGTTCATTTTGTTATACATACATTCATGCATACTGTGGTGCATTCAGTACTAAGAATACAGTGTGTTCTCTTGTATGCTGTTACTGCCACATGTACGAAATCAGCTCTACTGTTTCAGTTTCCCACACTGCAATGCAATGTAATTACTGTTCGTTGGATTTGAGGATCTGAAGACAGTGACTGTATTCTGGGATGTGGCATCATGTTGCTTGCTGGTTTGCTTGTTTGATTTGAAGTTGGCTTTTTTCTTTGTGTAGCATATTCAACCCTGAAGGTGGAGCTAGTATGTTCCTCTGAAACATCAACAAGTGTCTAGCAGACTACATGAAATCACATCCCAGGAGATATTGCTCTTCATTATTTGTTTGGATGAAAGTTTTACATTTGCTCTAAAAGAATGTGTTCCCATTGTGGATGGTCAGATCCTTGATGCTAGCAGCCCACATTGTCTCCCAACATACATGATTAGTTCATTATGCTTCAGAAGATTATGCTGTTGTGGTGAAAGGAGGTGTGTTCATAGTGACAGACAGACAAGTGGACATGTGCCTCTTTGCGTGTTGCATTGCTGTACCATAAGAACAATAATAATGTATGCTTAATGTCAGGCAGTTCATAGTTTTATCTGATGTTTATGATATTCTTTCTGGTAAAAATTTATTTTATGCAGTATTGAGTAAGTTGTTTAAATCAGTTTCAGGTACTGCAGAATTATGCATTTCATTTATCACAGAAATATGATGAAACGTAATGTAGATGTTGTACTGTGTATAGAAGTTCATTCCAGACTGTAAGCCAGTTACAGTAATTTGCTGATAGACAGGAGGCTAAGCTTCTGATCTGCAGTTTTCACAGGGGTGAATGTTAAGATGTGGTCTCCTTGGATGTGATGACATCTTGTTACCTCACATTCCAGCAGTCAGTGATCTTAGTTTACAAGATTTGTTACCATCCTATGTTGTTGGTTGTGACAAGAGCATGAGTGCAGTTGAGGATGTCAGCACTTGTTGCAATATACTTATTTTTATTTTAATTTAGGTAATGTGACTTCCCCAGCATGATTGATAAAGTAAGAGTGAGAACTTGTTAGACACAAACTCATGTCATTCTTGTTGTGAATTGTTTCTTGAGGTATATAGGTGTGTGTGTGTGTGTGTGTGTATGTAATGGGAGCCGTCAGAGCACAGTTGGTATAGTGACTGGCTATGGGATGGATGACCAAGTGGGGTCTAGAATTTTCTCTTCTCCATGTCATCCAGATCAGCTCTGGGGCCCACCCAGCCTCCTATCCACTGGGTACTGGGGGCTCTTTCCCTGCAGGTAAAGTGGCCAGGGCATGAAACTGACCACTGACCTTCAACTAGTGCTGAGGTCAATGAAATGTGGAGTGATATGTCCACCCTCCATACATCTTCATGACATAGTACTTAATTAGTTAATCACAGGGACAACTTTACTTTCTATATATATAGAAACTCCATGATTTTAGTCCCCAAGCGAACTATATATGTATATATTGGTGTAGTGTGGCTAGAGGTGATTTTAATGTTTAATTTATTAGGTTTACTTTGAAACTTCATATTTGAGCCCATGGAAACAGTGTACACTAGTGATTCTGTGGAAACACAAACATACCCTGTTGGATCCCATGGAAATGCAATGTACAGTGCAGAAGCATGTGGAAACATGGTGTACATTACCAGAGTCCAGTGAAATATTGTTTATGATAGTCTGTTATTTTTACATGTTCTGTGCACACAGTGCATAACATTAACAGATAATCTGTAGGCCATTTTTACCCATCTCTGGAACCCCTTGTTGGACTTGGGTGAAATTTCATGCTAGAGGCTGCACACTAATCTCTACCAGATTTCTGAACAAGGTGTTCTGGGAATTGTTTGTATAGATGCTAGTCAGTGTATGAAGCACAGATTTATGAGGATATCAAAAGTTAATTGACAAGTATTAAGATGGAACTTTATTGCTGAACACACTGATAATTTAGGTAATACAGTAATAACATGTGAAGTTTGTTTCCAGTGAATTTTAACTAATATCTAAATATATTGGAGATAGTTACAATAAAGTGAAGTGCAGAGGGTGTAAGAACTGTCCATTATTTTTAGGAGTTCAAATTGAACGCATAGAATAATTCAGAGTTCAGACATTTTGTTTTGATTTTGTTCATGCATTCAAAGTTGTATATTTTATTTCTGTATGAATAACACATTTTAGAATAGACTGATGTTACAATGTGATATCACCCTCCATATTTTGCATGTCCACTTATGTGCCTAGACTAATTCATGTAACACATTTACCAGTCCTTTGTTTTACCAGAAACAATGTAAAGAAAAATGAAAGATAGTTAGGCTCTAAGGAAACGGTTTACTAAAGCTTGGATGTGGAGCATCTATTGGTTCTTGATGAGTTTATAACATCTATGTAATATTGAGGAGCTCAATTTAAGCCAGTTGCTGTTAGGATTTTCCTGGGGGACTCTTCTCAGGCATCATATTACTTAGACCAACAAGATGTTTGTTTTAAAAGATTAACCTTTTTATTTCTTTCTCATAAGATCAGGCTTGATCTGTATAATTCTTGGGTATAGACACAGATGTGAATGGTGAAATCATTCCACTTTTTTTTTAAGTGAAGGATGCCACAAAGCTAGGCACAACATAATATTGTAATGTAGCATCCTGTTGCACTTTTCACTTGTGTTGATCGTTCATTGTCTTATATGCAACACTACATCCAATGAAATTTATCGCCTTTACAATTTTAAAAGTTGTAAAATGCACTACATGTTTCAGCCAGCATGGCCATCATCAGGTGTTAGAAATATGTCTAATGAGGAAATCGCTGCTTTCACTTGTTGCTGATGCATATGCAGGTCCCTCTGATGTGTGTGTGTGTGTGTTGTGGTTGGTGTGTTATGCTTGTCCCTGTTGTGTTCTTCATTGCATGTCCGTGTTAATCAGTTACTTCACATGCCTTGTGAAGAAAACAAAATTAGTAGAGCTGTTCTCAAGAACAGAAACTAAATCTGTTTACAACAACGATGGGAAGAAAACAGTGACATTTGTGAGCGAGGCAATCATATTCATGTGAGATAACTGCTAAAGGGGGGATAACATCAGTGAGCAATTTAAGAAAGGAATACGTTATTATTGCAAATGTAAAACTTTGAGCTTTGACAAACTCTCAAGACCAACATGTAGAAGAGATGTAAGCTCATCACAGTCCAGTGTGAGAGAACAAAAGAAAAGTTTGACTTCATGCTGATGGTTCTGTTGGAAGTAAAAATCTGTCGGGCAACACAGTCTCTTCTTAATTCTGGATGCCTCATACCGAACATGTTATGTTTCCCTCAGTATTAACAATTCAGTTCAATAAATTCTCTAACTACAACATGTACAAGAATTAAGTGGTATTTCTTTCACTGTATAGTGGAGATTTTGCAGATCTATTTTAATTGCCATGTAGCATAAATCCATAAGTGTTTCATGATCACTGTGTGTCCACTATATTGGCCTCTACTTACAGTAAGACCTGTTTCCAATAGCTAGAACTGCCAGACAATTACAGGCACATGAAGCTGCCAGTTGTAAATAAGTTAAGATACATTTTGTCTATTTATACCTATTTTCTTCACCAACACTGTACTGAGAGATTTTCAAACTAGTATTTGGAATGTACCAGTCTCTTTCATCCTGGTTTTTTCATACCACCATCATTGTATCCCCAAGAACTCTATATGACTCAATGAGTGAACCACAATTCAGGAGCCAGAATTATTCTCACACCTGATTTGATGTCTGTAACCTCTCTAGCTGATAAGAATTGTTAAATACTGATGCATCAGATCCTCCATAGTCTTTAATGTTATACAGTTTGACCTTACATAATAGTTGAATGGTTAGTATTCCTGCTACATACTTGGAAGTCCTGGGTTTGATTCTCAGCCACTAACTCATCTCTCCTAACCAAAATATTTTATGGTTTTCCTCAGTTTCTTAAAGCAGATGCTGTGATAGTACCTTAAAACGGTCTGCAACCACTTCCACACCCTTCCAGTTCACCATTTACAGTTATGCTACCATGGCCTATGCAGTTACAAAGGCATAATTAACTAATTGATATGTCAGTAAATTATAGTTTGGAAAGCTCTGTATTGCAGACAAGTGTTTGAAAACGTTTAACAATTTTGAATGCAGTTACATTCATAATGGTTGTTATAGCAATACAATATATACAGTAAACTGCATGTCACATGTTAAATAAAAGTATGTATATTTGTTAACTGTTTGAAGCTCCAGTGTTGAAATTATGAATGTATTGTTGACAGGATAATAAACTGTAATCAGAACATACAGTGTTTTGTTTATGATTTTTAAATCCAAATTTGAAAGATAATGGTAATCACACAGAGAAAACTACAGGCTAGTATATATCAACAACTTTAAATATAGAAGGCCAACACTTGCTATCTATTGTTATACATATATGCGTGTATGTGTATATGTAAATGAGTAGTTATGGATATGAGCAGAAGATGGCAGCAATAAATGATAATAGAATATATGATTCTGTGTTGCAGTGGCCACCTTTGCTGAAAAATAACATGGTTGTACCTCTTGATTGCAGTATCACTTATGTGTGTCAAGTTCAGTATTGTTATATAAATTAGATACAGAGTTATACTTGTATGTGTATTAATATGTTATATTTAAGCATCCTGTTACATTCCACACTTCTGTATGTATAATGTAAACTCCGTCATAAATGTAACATTTTATTGTAGTTCTTGTCCCCCTTCTTTTACACTATATGTTTTGGCCGCAACCGGCCATCATCAGGTGTATTTCACTTCATGTAGCTGTCACACTGCACTCAATATTAACATTTAAACTCCAGATTTACAATTGTCCATTGTTCTGTCATCAATTGGCACCCGATATTCCAGAACTCCCCTTGTTGATTTTGTTAATTATGTTTAAAATCTTTATTAATATTCCCACGTCAATTAGTTTAAAATTTTAAAGTCTCAATTTAGTGTTACATTTACAACGGAGTATGTATATGTATTATACATATAGAAATGTGTATTAATTAGCTTTCTTTTGAGATCTTTTTAAGTTTTGAGGTAAATTTTTGTTTTTTAATGTTAGAAATGTGCAGGTATTGTCAGCATCATTATTGAATTTGGAGCATAAAGTGTATGGATGTTTAAGGTTCTGAATGCAGTAATGGTGTTGTTGACAGCAAACAATTTCCTGTTGAAATTTCAATGGACTTTATGCCAGCATGCAGTAAAATTCACTGTTATCTTAGGGTAGATGGTGACAGCATATCATACTTTTAGGAGACACAAAAAAGACACTGACTAACAGAATTATTAGATTTTGTGATTTGTCATTAAGTTTAGTTGGTACTTACTTACTTAGTTACTTACTCATAGAGCTGAGCCCTTCTGGAGGACCTGCCAATTCTGCAGCTACTCAAGAATTTCCCAGCAATTTATGGAACCCGAGGGTTCATTACCATGTTCACAAGAGCCCTCCACTGGTCCCTATCCTCAGCCAGATCACTCCAATCCACACCATCCCATCCTATCTCTCTAAGATCCATTTTAATATTGTCCCCCCGCCTATGCCTTGGTCTTCCCAGTGGTCTCTCGCCTTCTGGCTTTCCCACCAATATCCTATACGCATTCCTCGTCTCCCCCTTTGTGCTACATGCCCTGCCCACCTCATCCTCCTTGACTTGATCATTCTGATTATACTTGGAGAAAAGTGCAAGTTATGAAGCTCCTCAATAAGCTGTTTTTGCCAACCTCCTGTCACTTCATATCCCTCCCAAAAGATATGGTTGATACTGAACAGAGTTAAAAAAGGGGGGTGTATGAACCTCTGCAATGCAATAGATCTGGTTGAAAAATTATTTATTGCTATTCTTGCGAAACACGCCTTCCTAAACGGGGGGGGGGGGGGCGAGGAGCACCCAAACCATAATATGTTAGCATACCTTCTTACCGTTTGTGCTCTCGCATCTGGCGGTCATTTTGTATTTAGTTAGTGACGAATGAGTAGAGATGGCAGAAGCATTGCATCGTGGTGTCATGGTGGCCATGTTGTCCACCAATAACAAGAGATTTTCACGCGGCGTATAATCGCTAGCGCGTATTGTATTGTACACATTAGTACAAATAGGATGTGAAATATGTTAGTGACCGAATGTGAAGATATTCATTCTGCAATTCATAGTGATGGTAATTTTCGAGTAAGAATAATTCATTCGCTTGTTGATGTTTAGCACCTACAAGAAACAGTTCTTTTGAAGCGAGATGTAAGTGTAGGAGAAATTTTTTGAACACATACGTGCTACAAGGTTTCAGATCAAAATTTGTGTTTCGCTACTTTCCAAATTTCACCGAAGAACATATGCTTGTGGATACGGAACCAGGTTTCCATGTAGTTGCGCGATTTGTCTATATGTAAAAATTGTGCATGTATACTTCTGCGGTAACATTGAAACCACGTCCACCAGCATTTTTGCCTACTTGATCATGATTAAAGTTTGGAGTTCACTACTGGTATGATGTGTTCATTGCTTAAATAATCAAGCCATAACCGCGGATTTTGTTTTGTTTCTAAAAGAATAATTGTCCTTAAAGATCCAAACAGTCGTTCATATTTTTGTGTAAGTGGCACTGAAGTGACTGGTAACAGCACTGCTGCGGTTTGAAGTTTGTAAGAATTTACCAGTGTGATCACTTGTTAGGAAATTGTCTTCATACAGTAACTCAGAGCTCAGATGGGGATATATTTAAAATATTGTCATGGACTGTGCAGTTTTGGGCTTAATTTTCTGTTCTCAAAATCCTCTTGATGCAGTTCCTCTCGTCATCATTGCCACTCCATAGTTTTTTCACTGAAGTTTGTATTCAGGTATCCACTTTGATAGGTCAGTAATTATTTCGTAATCTTCAGTTTCACTATTAATATTTGAAACAAAAGTTTTTGTTTCACGTTTATTTATTTGTGGCTGTTATTTGTAATACCCAGTAAATTTTGTGGAAATCTCACTTGTGGTGCTCCAGTCTTTTGGTGTTCCATTCTTCAGTTTCCTGTCCATACCATCTTATTTCAAATTTCCTTTTTTTTTTTTTTTAATGTTGTTTATTATTGTATTTGTATCTCATAACAGTTTTTTTGCTTTAATGTTTTTTATAAATATTTCTTCATTTCAAGATTGTATTATTTACACATGATTCCCATGGTCTGACCCTGGTAGTTGTCAGCATACTACAGAGTCTGATGTTTTTTCATTTATGGTTTATAAAGTGGTGCTTTGGTAGCTCAGAGTGTGTATGTAACATGAAATGATATGGTGATTAGTGAATAATGAATTAAAAGGGATGTGGAAGGAAGCAGGTGTAGTCTAATCTGAGAGACTTTCACAGGATTTGAATGGAGCTGAGGAAAACCAACGGCACCTGAGTCAGGTTGGCCTCTTTTGGGGCTGGTACTTGAACCTGGGACCTGCCAAATATGAAGCAGGAGTGCTAGTCACTTGACATGGCATTTGGTTCATATTCCAGAAGATCCAATTTTGGTACGTGAGATTTTATTTTTATATTTACTTGAAGTGATATGCAGGTAACATGTCATTTGCAATTTTTTGTCTGATGCAGCCAAAAGGATGCGATAGTATTAACAGCTTTATATATTAATTTTTATAACAGACATCAGTTTTATTTCTAACAGTTTATAATCTTTTGTAAAAACCTAAGGAGTAAGTTATGTAACTTGTGTAACTCATTGTTTTGTATTATTGTGAAACACTGACTCTGAGGCTAAGGGAAGAAGCTGAATTCATCATGTTTAAGAGGGAAGTGCTGGGCAGAGAAGTAGGACTTAAAAGAAAGGAGGAAACAGAAGGATGTAGAATACTGCATATGAGGAACTTCATATATTTTTCACATCACCAAGGCCATTGAGCACAACAAGGAGTCATAAACACACAAAAAGGAAAAATTAATTTCAAAGAAGAGGGAACTTGTGAGATCCAGTCACTTTAGCAGTTGTGTTGCCCTTCTTTTACTTGACTTTGACACTCCAGTCTCTTGAGCTAGACATTTCAGTGATTTTCTGGGTATATGTTCAAGTCGCCCCAGTATCATCTAACTTCTCCTCAGAAAGCACTTGACACTTATTGTTTTCCTGTGTATTACGATGCCCATTGCTCTAAGATTATTCACCAAATTATGAATTGTTTGTCTGCTGGAAACTCTCATGAAATTTTCACCGACACTTTCTAGCAGATCCATATTTCACATAAGTGTCATACAGAAATACATGTTGCTCTAGAGTATACTGCACCATGATGTACCACAGTGAGAAGAAGTGGGTCATGAAGCTGATAACTGCTGCCTGCTGCTGACAAATCATAAACTCCCACACATGAACCGTACTGCTCGCCATGAAACATAATGGTGTCAAGCAGTCCTCAAGTTAATTACTTCCCTTCATTCCAAACGTTATCGGCCATCAAGCATGCTGATTCATTGGAAAAATTAGTATGCATCCTGCAGCACACGATGCACTGGTCACTCTGGAGCACAGAGCCACAAACTGGTCAGCAAAGTTAAAAAACTGTCTGTAGAAGTACTTCTTAGACATAAAGATATATGTTACTTAAAATTCAGTATGTTTAAACACCACATATAATCGTTATGTTTCCTTTCAGGACTTGAGCAAATGTTCTGAATTAAATGTACTTATCAGAACTGTGAAGCCTTGTCACTAAGGTTCTTTGCACAGTCCACAAATCATCATGTCTGATGAATGAGATTTTGCATTACATATGGTCAGAATGTTTCCTGCCCTGAAGACTGGCTTGGTGAGTGCTTTGTGCTTATGTACAAAGAAAATAATTTTATCTGGTCTTTATCCACTCTCTGCTATTGTGAACAGAGTGTGATGTTTTGGAAACTGTATCTGTCCTCGAGTCAGAAGTTGGGGGACACTTACTTTCATCTGTCAGAAAGAACTGGACTATGTTAGTTGTTAGATTTTGTAGAAAGATACAGTTAGGTGAGTATTATGCTCTTTTCATTGCCAGTATTCTTAAATCTGTGTTGTGTATTTTCTGTGTGTGTGAGATTTTTTGTTGTGACACTATACATGTTATCTGTCCTTAATTATTTCCATTAGAATGTCATCGAATGTTCAAGTATCCAGAGTGTGTTAAGCTTGCATACAAACAAACAAACAAAAATCAAACAAACCCAGTGGCTTTAGTCCGCAAGCAAACTATACCAACCAAGCGACTGCCACTTGTCAGCGAAGTTAGTCTTAACTTTAGCAGATAGAGGGTGTCACGTATTCAGCGCAGCAGATCCCCATGGCCATTAATTTCAGTTTTCTAGACCGGAGCCCCAACTTTTCAATTCAAGTAGCTCCTCAGTTATTATCACGAAGCTGAGTGGACCCCGTTCCAGACCTTCTACTTCTCAGAAAATGAGGTAGTGCCATTAATAGAACCTGGGACCTCTGGATCTGTAGCCAGGAACTCTGACCACTAGACCACAGAGGCAGTCCATGTGTTCAGCTTGCATGCATTGCTTAATATATCCTGACTTCATTCTTTTGCCTTTCATTTCTCTTGGGGTGAAACCTGAAGGATAAAATTAACAGTGAGCTTTTTAAGCCATGTCTGTACTGGCCCATCATAAAGAATCAATTGCATGCTTGGCTTTCCATCATAAAGAACTGCAGAAGTGTATCAGGTAATTGGAAAGGAAAGGTTTCTACATCATACATCATTGAAAACCTAAGAAATGCATCATCTAATAGAATTATCTGTTAATTGTAATTTACAGCAGAATACAATGATGAAAGTAGAGAATGATGTGGATGTTCAGAGTGAAGAGAATTCCAGTGATATAAAAATTCATGAAGTGTATATACCATCGTCATTTCCCAAAGAAGAGATTAAGTCTGAGGTGGGTCTTGTTTTGGGTTTTTTTATATACTTTGCTCCTTTTTTGACTCGTCTTTTCAGTGCAAGACATTCTTAACATGACAGTCACTTCTGAAATGCTTACAATAGTTTAATTTCTATAAACAGAATATTTTTCCTGTGAAACATTTTTAAACATGCAAGCTTCTTGTTGCTTCATACTTTATCTCTGCAATGCTCCTGCAGTAGTTAATCTGTGAGCTTGGTCTGTATAATGTATACATTATGTTCATTGTCTTTATTTACTATGTAATATAGCATACAGAATAACAAGGGAAAGTTTGTACAATTCAGTAAACATGTCAGGCCTCTAATGAGTGTAAATTGAGACTAACCATTGAAACATATCAAAGAGTGGCCCAAAAGTCAGTTAACTTGTTAATAAAATGTACACTAAAATATGTTATAAATTACTATATTTGTTATTGAATTTACAAAAATTGTTTGAAATAGATCCTCCTTGTTCAGTGTACAACTCTCAACACTGTGGTACCATTCTACATATTGTCTGGCATGTTTAAATGAGAATATTTCTGTTAATAGAGAATATTTTAGGTTAACAGATTTGTGGGCCTCTTTGTATATCCATGATGGCAGGGAACAAGACACTTGATGTTATGTCTCATTTTATGCTATATTTGTGATCAAGAAGCATGTCTGGACAAATTTCCTGTAAATCCAAAATCTGCCTCCCAGAATTAGAAGACAAAATGGTAATACAAGAAAAACTTATCTGAGAAATGTCTTTGTTTTTATTAAGAAAAGGACAAATGAAATGTTCTTTACACACTGAGGGAAAAGTCATTACACTGCTACTAGGATGTGGGGAGGATACAGACTGTCTTTGCTGTTGCTAGGAAGTGTAGGCAGGAATGATGATAGGATGGGCAAATGAAAGGGCGGGAAAAGACTGTGGGAGGAAGGAGGGAAGGAGAATTTATGAAAGGAAGAATTAGGCTCAGGGACATGTTTTAATTTGTAGAAGAGGAAAGAGAGAGAGGAATGATGGTTAAAATCAAAGGTAAAGCTATCCCTGTAACAGGCAATGGAGGCCCATAGGGTTGTGAGACATGAAGCCTCCCACATTTTCTGGACAGCTCACAGATGGCAGTGAGGTTGTCATGATTTATTTAATCCGTCTTGCAGTGCATACACTCATTTATTTCCTTCTCTCCCTCGCACTACATGTTTCGGCATAATAATGCCATCTTCAGGTGCTTACTTATCCACGTCAAACCAGTTCATTGCATGCCATGTTCACACATTAAAATAACTAAAATATGTATCTATCATATACATTGTCAAAGGTTGTCATCCTTATTCACCAGCCACCCTTTAGCCCTAACTAACAGAGAAAGGAGGAAGAGAGATAAAGGAAAGGAAGAAGATTATTTCCCTCACCATCTTTGATGGAGTAATAATATAATAGGAGTCTTGGATATCATCGTGAAAATTTTTAAGTACCATGATGACCTGGCACCCAGAACTAATACATGCCTTATTTTTCATGTTACCTTTCCACATACACGTAAGTCTTCTGAGAGTTCTCTTTTGACATGGATTTACAAATTCCATGTTACAATTTGCAAGCCCTGAACTTCCCATTCTTCATGGTTCCATGACTTTAACAGTACCAGATGGAAGTCACAAATTATGAAGCTTGTTGTTGTAAAGGTTTCTGCTTTATTTATGCTTTTTCATTTTTGTATACACAGATATTCTCTTATGCACTTTGTTTCCAACCTTTAATAGTCTGTGTGCTCACTGCAGAAAACCTGCCCCAGTACTACTTTTTCCACCACAAATCCCACATGACCTGACTTGGGAACAACCCTGAGCTACCACAGTGTGAAGCCAGTGACCAACGTCCTGAGCTATGGCATGACTGCTACCCGTACAAATTAGTGACTCGTTTTGTTACAGTTTTTAGGGTTCTGGAAAAATTTAGTATGGAGTTTGGTCTAGAGAAGTCAACACAAATGAAAATAAATGTATGCTTCTGTGTTGTCACCACAGTGGAGGGCAAGATCATTCTGCAAGGATGACTAAAGTTTTCTTTAGAACTGTGGAAAAGTTTCAATTTTTTTGAAGAACAATGCAAATCAGGATTACGTTCACAGAGGTATTATAAGGAGGTTAAATCTGTAAGGTTTTGCTGCTATAAATTAGAAGAATCTGCTTTATTCGCATACTCCAATATGCTGGATGTTTGCCATATAGTCTAGTAGAAGTTTACCGGTGTCTTGGAGGAATATGGTGCCTCCATCCTGAGAGTTAAAGAGTAAGCCAAGAAGCAGCCTTCATTCAAAATGTCAATAAGGTTATACACTGTTTACAGCTTGACATCCCAGAAGCTGGTGATCTTCATAGTGAGTGCCATGAGAACCTCAAATCTAATGTGAAACATACACAGATCTGTTGGTTTGAAAGGGTATCAAACTTGGTCTCTCGCATTGAGGGAAGAACACAGGCTGAGAGTGCCTGAGAACAGGGTGCTGAGAAGAATACTTGTACCTTAGGGTGAATCAGTAAGAGGCTGACAAAATCTGCCTAATTTGTCCTCTCACTAAATATTGCAGTAGTATCATCAAGGAGCATGGTTTTTTGAGTGAAGTGAATATGTAGCATATGTTAGAGAGATGTGAAATGCATGCAGAATTTTAGTTAGGAAGTCTGAGGAGAAGAGACCAGTTCAGAAACCTTAGATATAGATGTGAAGAAGTGTTAAATTCAATTCTGAAGCGGCAGAATATGAGAGTGAAGGCTGGATCCACATGGCTTAAAAAGTGGAGAACGTACAAGTTCAGTGAACAGGGGGATGAAACTTGGTTCTATAAAGGCTTCACATTTCTTGACTTACTGAGTGACTTGTATGCTGGTTTTTGATGTCTCATTTAACTAGGATTTTTCAAATCAATCAAAAAATTAATTTCTTTAACCATGAGTATTTTATGCATTTCCTTTCTCTGCTCTGCTGATGAATTCAGAGTGAAATCATGTTAATCGCTTTCAAAATAGCCACAGATTGTGCTGTGCTAGAATTAAAATATTTAACATACTTGAACTTTATTTTGTGATGTAAGTTCCTTATCTTTGGTTGTCCTACATGATGTACTACTACTCTTACATTGTAACAAACTGATTCCTGTTACAATGATGATGGCCTAGTAGGCGGAAACATGTAGTGCATTGACAAATTTTAACAGGATTTAATTTTAATCATGATATTGTTGTATGAAGGATGGTATACAAAACCAAAAATAAATTGTAGTACCAACTGCAAAAGGATGCTAAAATACATTCTGATTTGTGTCTTTAATTAAATGTTACATGGAAGATATACGTGTAAGTAGACAGTGTATTTTCATGATTTTTGTCTTGGGATTACTGATTTTTTGGACTTGTCCATCATCTGTTATTCTGAAGAGCACACTCCCCCCCAGAAAATATGTCTATTTCTATCCTGAGGTGTAAGCATGGGAGGCACCTACTCTGTTGGATCAGTTAGAAAGAACCTCTGTGTTTTGAGTACTGGATGATGGACAGAGTCTGAAAACTCAGTAATCCCAAGTGCTATATAGTAATCATGTGTTTGTCTGATGATGGCTTTAAAAGCCGAAACATGTAGCTACAGTAATTTTAACCCTGACCGTTATGTTGTTACAACAGACTCCAATAAAAAATTGTGCTATACACTATTTTAGAACTCTTTACAGTTAACAGTTTTTATTTTGTTAGTAAAAGACTGCAGTCTAAAGTGTGACTGTTCTCAATTTTATGCAGCATAAAGCGGTTGCAGTGGACATGTTCCCATTTTATGTAACAAGAGAGCACAGCCATGATTGATAATGATGTGATGGTTTTACAGAACTGCACAGATTTCCTGAAATGTCTGCCAGGTTCATGTAGTGAGACATGCGTGACATCTTTTCACGATGGAAGTGAGGTTATGAGCATAAAAGTTGAGGCTGTCACAGAGGAGGAGGATCCTCTGCTAATAACTTTTCCAGGAATGAAGGTTGAACATGAGGTGAGTTGTATTTCTTTTGTAGAAGACACACATACTGATTGTGCGTGTTCCAGAGATGTACTGCTAACGTCTTTAATGTGTCAAGAGTATACAAAGTCAGCGTAGAATGCAAATAGCATTGACAAGATCCTTGTTGTTGAATGGCTCCACCCCATAAACTTGGCTAAGTAAGACACCAGGAGATGCCTTAGTACTTCTCATATTATTTACTCAATTCTGACATGTTACATGCTTTCAGAGTGTGTGACAGCTGCCTGATTATCAGGTTATACTTTGGTTGGCTTTCAGATACTTAACCCTTTAAAGACAAAATTTCTTCTAAATAATATGTCATACACATGGAGATATCAGTTTTGTTATAGTGTTGTATGTTCTTTATATTGCTTGATGCATATTGCCATTGTATAGCTCTCAAGTCATCTCTTCATTAGTGTTTGATCATGATGTGGGTTGTAATTAGTCTACTTACTTCCCGCTGAAGGTGTGATATTCCATCAAAGCTGTTTTAGATAGACTGTATTAATATTTGTACTAATTCCTCTCTTTTTTCCTTATTAGAGCACTCTAACTGAACATCAGTTCATACATGATGAGGATGGCCCACACTCCTGTCATGTATGCCATAAATCATTTAATCTTCAAACTTCATTGAAGAGTCATTTGTGCATACATAATGGAGAACGCCGATATTGCTGTGATGTGTGTAATAAATCATTCAGCGATTTGAGTAACCTCAGGAGGCATCTGTTGATACATGGAGGAAAGCGTCCATATTCATGTGATGTGTGTTATCATTCATTCAGTCAGCAGAGTCATTTGACAGCACATAAACGCATTCATAGTGGTGAGCGCCCATATTCCTGTGGTATATGTTACAAATCATTTAGTCGCCTTGGTAATCTTAATACACATCAACGCATACATAGTGGAGAGCGGCCTTATGTCTGTGGTGTGTGTAAGAAGTCCTTTAGTCAACATAGTCATTTGACTACTCACCAACGCATTCATAATGGAGAGCGTCCCTATTCCTGTAATATGTGTAATAAATCATTTAGCCAACACAGTCATCTGACAACACACAAGCGTGTTCATAGTGAAGACCGTCCATATTCGTGTTGTGTGTGTAATGATTCGTTTAGGCTTATAGATGATCTGAATACACATAAGCGTTTACACAGTGGAAAGCGCACTTATTGCTGTGATGTGTGCAATAAATCATTCAGTTATCCAAGTGCACAGAGGAGACATCAGCGAGTACATAGTGGGGAGCGTCCATTCATCTGTGATGTGTGTAATAAATCATTCAGTGATCCAAGTGCATATAAGAGACATCAGCGTATACACAGTAGTAAATGACCATATTCCTGAAAAACGTGTAAATAAATTGTCTGGAGGTCTGAGAAAACTAAGGATTCCCACCATACATAGTTGTGAGGGATGTCCATATTGCTGTGCAGAGAGTAACAAGTCATTCAGTACTAGGAGTGGTGTAAGGAAACATTAATATTCTTGAGAGGTGTGTTATAAACCATACACAAATCACAATAGAGTGGAATTTAGTAATCTGTACTCCAATCTGTACTCCTGATTTTTAGTACCACTTTCACACGTCCCCCACCAAAATCAGTACCTCCAAAAATATTGTAACGTGTTTTGTTTACTGAATACACCGTAGAGATCGTTAATTGGTTTATTGAACAATCTACAAATCTTGGCTACAATTAATTATCACAAGGTTACAGGTTTCCACAGTTTACAAACCCTACAACAAAATCTCTTCACACTATCTCGAAGAGTCTTCATGTATTAATAACGCGGGAGCTATACAAGTCTCCCTGAACTACACACTTTCACTCGTAACACACCGCTGGCTAGATTCCAACTCTGCTCGCAAGATGCTGCCTTGAGAACTGTTGATAACACACTCGCTCGTAGGCTTGCTCGGAACTATCTTCAGTGATGGCCACGTTACAACTCTACTCGGCGACTGTTACTTTACAACTCGTGTGTAGCTGCTGTGCAGTTCCCTTATATAGCCGCAGTGGTGCCTGTTGCGTGACACGTCACAGGAGTTGTTGGCTGCTGCCTGGCAACCGCGATATCCCTTGGTGACGTCACCGCTGTTGACTCGCGTTGCATAGTTACCAGGTTGCGGGAGCTCGGCTAACTCCGCCTCCGCTCGTGACGTCACCGCTCGGGGAGAGTGGCGGGGTGATGACTCGCCTATTATGCGAGCGCTACGTTACCGCTACATGCCGCTGGGGAGGTAGGGGTCAACATGTCACAATATATTTTACTTCTGTGCAGTAAAAATTAATTCTTGTAAAACATGGTGTTACTTGCCAGTGAACTTCATTCTGTAGGTGATGAATGATGTAAACCAGTCACTGCTGGCGTGGAGCCCAGTGTGTAGTGAAATGTGTGCAGGTGCTAGTTTTTTATATATGAAAGGTAACTGCAAGTCTTTTGAATAAATAATTTTACTAAAAATTTTGAGTTTTTATTCCAGTTTGAGTAATCTGAATGTTTTGATAGTCCAAACACCAGTGCTTTAATTAGTTTTGATTATTGAGGTTGCACTATACTTAGGTATTAATATAGTTTTTTTTTTTGTTAATGTGCAATACATGTAACAATATGTTCTCGTAGGAGAGAAGAATCATTATTTTGTTTAATAAAATTATCTGACCATAATTCTGAGCATTCCTTGATATCTTGCCAAGTGCACATTCAGTCCATCTGCCTTTTTGACATAATTAGATGTCTCTGAACTCACCTCTTAAAGGTCCAAAGGAGTATCACTTCCATTACAAAACACATCTGGAATCAAAATACTTAAGATATTTTTGTAGATTACTGAAGACCTTTATTTAAATAAATAATAAATGCCTATGTTAACACAATACTAAATATTTACCTTCACATTCATGTAGCCAGGCTCCATGATGTTATATAATATTTGAATGAATATTACACGTTTATTTATAGATCTGTAATATTCATTAAAATATTACATCATGGAGCCAAGCTACATGAATATGAAGGTAAATATTTAGTACTGTGTTAACATAAGCATTTATTACTGTGAATTACTTTTTATATGCAAGTTCCAGGCAACAATGTTTTTGATGTCCTACATTGTGAATAAATATCAAAGACACATTTTTGGGCAGGGGTTCATGATTTGACTGGTCTAAGTACCCTGCTTTTAGGAAACTGAAAATTTCATTTACTAAAATATGCCATTGACATATTGGGCCACAGTTAATCTGAGGTCAGTTCTAACCATCATATGTCCCACTGTTAGGTTGGCTCACTCCCAGTCCAGTTTGCCATGTGTTATATTACTGTCAATAGAACACCTTTCTTGTATATATTCACACTAACATTTACCAGTCTTTTTATCATTGCTGAAGACAGATTTGTATTACACTTTCCTGGTAGGGTCAGTATTGCCTCAGATAGTAGTTTGTGACTAAGAGAGTAGATTAGAGAAAATAAATGTGTCTGGCATGTGTTTGTAGATGGGAGAATAAGGATGAGTAAGGATTTGGGGTTGAGTGGGCAAGATTACCGATAAACTGAATGCGCTGTCCAAGTGATATTTTACTTTGCTAATGGAATGCAACAACAAAATGAAAATGCCTCGCATGTTTCTGTTATGGTGTGAGTGGGAGAGTTCATTTTCTGACAGTTCAGTTCAAATAAAAAAAAATCGACAGTAAAAACTAAACTTAGTGCAACAGAGGTAGTCTGTGCACTAAAAGAGATTTTAAGATAATTTTATAAGAAAGAAAAGATTACTCTTATTCCCCAGGGAGCTAAATTGTTATGGAAATTAGACAACGCTATAAGGTAAAGTCCCTGTGCTTTAATTAAGTACTACACCATGAAAGTGTATGGGTGAGTGGATGTTTGATCTTTATACTAGTTGGAGGTGTGTGGTCATGCCTCCTGCATCCACGCAAAGTATTCCACTTACACAACACACTTCGGCTCTCAGTTTCTGGCATTTATAGATAGCCAGTCTGTTTCATTTTTGTTTATGTGCATATATTTTAAAGAACCTGTACATGTTAAACGTTCCAGGTGGGTGGCCAGGTGTTGTGATGTGAAATAACATATAGTTCCCCAAATTCTGGACAGGATGAATAAAGGCAAAAGAAAGAGACAAGATCCACATTATCTGGGATGGAAATAATGGTGTGCCCTTACATTTTGAAAGGTCATAGATTCCGTAGAAAGCTAGAAACAGGAGACAAAACCTCTCAATACTATGCTTTGTCAAATACAAAATAAATCTTAACCTATATCTTGAATATATTATACAGGAAATGGTATAACAGCTGGGAATAATAAAAAGTCATGATTAGGAGAAAAATTCCAAGGTAATAAAATGCTTATCGCTTGGGCTAGAAAAACTGTGTTTTCTGTACTTTCAGAAAAATGCGTCTCATCACCTGAGTACGCGTTTCATGTGAGCTCACACAATTGTCTCCGAACATGTACGATATTTATTACTGAAACTCTCACGCCGGACTTCAACTGGAAACATCACGTCTGTGTTTAGTACGATATCAGTAGCAACGTCTCAAACGGCAAAAAGATACAAATCTTATTATAGACATACGGTATTAGAACTTACTCCATTTCGAATGTTTGTTCCTTGCAACACGAGTCAACCAGTCTGCATCTGTGAGAGAAAGGTTGCCTGTATCTTATTTCCTATGTTACGCTCCGCCCCAGAGTTTTACGGTAGATAAAAAATATTAATGTGTTGTGTATAGATGTTGGTTTTATGCCTTCCTTACCATTGGAACTTATGCTACGTCAACTGTAACTTGGGTAACTAGCATTGACTACCATTCTCAGTCGTTGGTACGGGATTTGTTCGCGGTTGGTGTTTCTGACCAGAGTGCGTTCACCACTTCACCACTGTGAGATGAATTGTGTTGAGAACGTATTAGTTCGAGCGTACCGGAAATATGTTGACCGATGTTGACTATGTTCAAGTCTGCTCAAGTGTGCTATCTATGCTTCCTGCGCTTCCTGCTGTGTCAATGGAATGTGGTGCATGTTATTATTTGAGTGCAGAAGACGGAGTAATAATACCAGTTGTTTAGTACTTCGCGGTTATACCATGTCCAAAAACAAGCTAAATTTAACGTTGCCACCCGGATCTATAGAACCTGCTCCACCAGTTACTCCTGTATCAACGGTACCTGTAAATATAGATGTTCCAGTAGTGCCAGAGTAAGTCGGCATATAATCACATTTATATTTCACATATATTCATTTCATTGTGCAGTCAGCAGTTTATACTGGGATGTAAGTTTTGTGTTTATATATATGGAAAAGAAACGACTAATTTAAGGATCTCAGGATAATGTGCTTGATTTTGTAAAGTTTTGAAATTAAGTTGTGGTTATGAAATGTCGTGTAACAAAAATGGATTTAGTTTTGTAGGCTGCTACAGGCGTTTATTTTACACGGACTCGTGGTCCTCGTGCTAGCTCAACGATATTTTGTTGCGTGGATCTAGAAAGAGAAGCGCAAGCATTTCCCCTGCTTTGTATGCTGACTGCTTAAATAGAAGTTCATTTCTGAAGGTAAAAAGGTGACAAATTTACCGTATTTTTATAAGATCTGCTGGAATTAGCCTCCTTCTGCCTTCCAGCACGCAAACGAGTGCTGTGACACATTCTGTAGTTTGAAATGAATAAACTGCTACACATATCACAGGACATCATTACTTTTACACTGTGTAATGATATATTTTGCAGCAGCCTGTTCCAAAAGTGAATTCTTGCTCTATAATCTGGTTGTTTAAGTTCGTGTATATATGTGGTCTGACAATAAAGTTCGCAAACTCATGGTAAAGTGCTACATACCTCATTGCTGAATATCACTGTGGTCACCTTCAGAGTACGCCCCTTGGGAAGGTATGCACTGATGCCAGTGCCTAGACTATCCTTCAAAACAATTTGGAACTGGTTTTATGGAACGGCCTTCAGAGCTGCCATCATATTACTCCAGATGTGATCAGTGTCATTAAAATGCCTTCCTTTCAATATTTCCTTTATCTTTGGGGATACAAAAAAGTCATTGGAGCTAGATCCAGTGAATAGGGAGGGTGTTCTAGCACAGTTATTTTTTTACTAGCTATAAACTCCCTCACAGACAGTGTTGTAATTCAAGCTCCGACATTCTCGCGAGAGCACACCAGAGCAGACTCAGGCAATAATAGATGCCACTCAGAAAGAGACTGCCATAGATCAACAACAGTGCAACTCTGAAATGCTAATATGCCAATGTCATCAAATCATACTGAGGTTTCTATCAACTGCTGCCATGGCAAGCACACGGTGGCAGTTTGCGAACTTTATTGTCAGACCTTGTATGTAATACTGCAGAATTTAGTTTTGTAGCTGTGAATGTAGGTCATAGTGAAATGCCAGTTCCTTATATCAGTGACTGTTTGCAAGAGCTGATTTCGAATTCTGCCTGAATGTCTTGTAATTTTTTTTTCAGTTAGCACATACCTGTTTCTGTTATTTGTTTTTGTCACAATCTGAACCCACGAACAATCACCTTTTGACAAGATTCAGTACACATGACTTTGTAGGAACTTGTCCATGTGGGTATTTGTTAGTGAACCTTTGAATGCACTGTGTTTTAAGTTTTCATCCCTGTAAGGTTCATGACTGTGAACACTCAGTGTTGAGTTGCATACGTTGTTGAAAGAGTGACAAATCAGACCTGAAGACAAAAAGATCTGCACAGCTAGAACTTGTGCACACTGCTGTACTAAGCACACTGCACTGATCTGTGAAACTGTTTGCTGGCTGTGCATGTGACTCATCATCTGATTGGGATAGTAATTGTAGATAAAGTATATTGTGTGCTTTGTTCATGGTGTTGGTACATATCTTTGTTTAACCTCATTGCCTACAGTCATGTCAGTATGCAGGACATACAAATATAGAGTAATGAAAATTCATTGCCATTTCAGAAGTGCATTTATCTGGCATGAAAGTAATGGTGAGGTTTTCTTTAAACGGCTAGTAAATTATTTGCTTCAGAGCCTCAGAATGTGTTGCGGAACTTGTTTACATGCTGGGTCAGAATATCACCAGTTCAAGCAGTTCTTAAAATTTATATCACCTTTTTTCAGTAATCAGTATATAAGTCCTATTTAGTTTGAGATTTAGCACCCAGTGTGTGGAAACAAATGCCTATGCTGTTCCCTCCACAGTAATGCTGTAAGTTACCACTGCAATATTGCAAGCAGTATATTTCCAACTCATTTGAACACACTGTACTCCCTAAAACAACTGCTTTTTGGGTCATACAGCATTGGATGTGAAGATTATCATCTTCATCTTATCCAGGTAACAGGCCATAGAGGCCCATGGTGTTGTGAGACATTGAGGCTTCTACATTTTTAGACGGTCTGCTGACAGATGACAGCGGGGTTGTCAGCCTTATCTGCTGGCCACCCCTTACCCCCAGGAAGATTCGTGGTACTCATTTCAGTTAGAGGCTGAGTTGACCCCAGGGCCATAATGCGGCTGGAAGTATTAGGACAATTGAAAGATACAGTGACCTCATCAGGAATTAAACCCGCAACCTTCCGGCTTGTAGGTTAGTGCCTCAACCAACTACGCTACCGCGTGTCCTCAAACACTTGTGGGCCAAGTAGATAACCAGTGTTTGCATATCAAGGTTTCCACCTTGAACAGAATCCCAGCAGCAGTCCTCGATAATGTTGTGTGATAATGGCTAAACACCAGGTTCAGGTTGGAAATGAATTTTGTATGGCACTGAATGCTCTCATCTACAACAGCTTACAAATAATTGAAATTGTTCACAGTGTGTCAGACTGTTCTTGCTTGAATCCTCTGGTACTCTATGATCACAGGCCTTGTTACTAGGTTGCAAGCTCATCCATCGCTGACTCTGTCATTCGATCATACCTCCTTTAAGAATTCCTTGTCAGAAGGCATTCCAGTTCTTTTGGCCTTTTTCTGATTTCCTAGATGCAGGCTCCACCAGACAGTTGTTTTCATAAGAAGAGAGACTGCAAGTGCAGATGTTTGTAAAGTGCGTGTAAACGAGCGAAAGAAATAAATTCGCTATATCAGATGTTCTACAGCTCTCAATGTCTTCAACAGTGCCAAAGTGAACTGGTAGCCCCATAAGCACTTCCCTCAGCTCTTCACAGACCTCTGTCACCAGTTCCCTAAGACACGGCATAAGGTCTATAATTTCATGTGGTGTCTCAGTGAGAGAAGTATGCGCTTCTCCATGTTTTATTAAGTCTAAATCCATAGTACTCCAGGAAAGCCCTACCCCCTGGGATAATGTTTGAACTTCCCCATATTACTTGGTGGGAGTTAGCATTACATCCCAAAACCAGGCCCAGGTGCTTTTCCCTTCAGAAATTTATAACTTGCACCATCTCTTTAGATGATAGCAGAGGATCTACTGAGTTATGAGGCAAGTATGCAGAACACAGCATCACATTTCTGCCCTCACCATAGATGTTGTATTTCACCAGGACCAACACAACATCCATGCTACACAGAGCTTGAATTGGTGTTGCATCTATACCTGAACTGTATATGTCCACATGGTGTGGGTCTTTTTACAACCTTTTACACCCTTCAACCTGCTTTTGAAGATCCATGATTCCTGTATTAGGGATATATTGGTGTGCTCTGCAGTTGGTATTCTAATCAGTGAGTGGTTGTTTTACTGTGTTTTCAAATTGTTTTGCAGGAAGGAGAGCCCCATACTCATATTCCTTTAATAAGTAGCAGCAGGTTCATCTTCCTCCTCTCCCATGCCTCCACTTGGGTTAAACACTGACTGTTGTACATTGTAAAATAGCTTGAAATTCTTAGCCTACAGAACCTTGGCCATGTCATCATACACTCCTAGAAGAAGCTGGACCCTCTTAGCAGAGCCTGGCCCGCTTTTGTACACTTACCACGAGTGCAGATTCTGTCACTGTATTCTTCTGAGGATTTTGACCGTTTCCACTGGTACCGCTGTTCTCTGGAGCCATGGAGTGAGCCATTTTGCACTTCCTGTAGGAGAGCTTCTTTAAGTCTGTGCTTAGGAATGACCCCTAAGTGACAGTCTTTAACACAGTAGTCTACAGCATATCTTTGTGATGGAAAAGTGTTGTGGGAGCTAGGGTCAGTTCCCCCCTTGGGAATCCCATCAATCTCCATCCGTACACTCTCCATCAACTGATTCACCTTCTCTGAAATGATGTCCACCTCTAGATATTCACTCTCTATGATACACACCCTCAGAAAGCTGTCAACTGCCTGAGCATAGCTGGTGGCCCTATGCCTCTTCTTCTGTAGGCTTACTGATGGCAGGATATCTGTAGTCATTTAGAGCCCCCACTATGATACCAGCTGGACTGCCAGTTCAGTTTCCAGCAGAGACCCCAGGAACCTTAAGGAGAGTCTCTTCTTCTATCACTCCTTTTACTGTGAGCCATTCCAGTTCCTCTGGATGATCAGGTTTCTCACCCCCCACCATGAGCCTTCCTTCAGCCTCACCCTCAGAGGACCACTTCATGGAGCCCCTGAAGGATGGTGGCTGCATTTCGTGAGTGACAGAAGACCCAGAAGCTGTGCCTTCTGATTTCAGGAGAAAGGATTCATGGCCCTCCATAGAGGAAACTCAAAAGGTGGTATATCCATCCCTGGTTCGAGATGGTTGTTGAGAGTCTTCTGGGAACACTGCAGTAGTCCTTCCTGACAACTATGCAGCAACCATTTTCATTGTTGTCCTGTGAGACACTAGAGAAATCTGGTCACTCTGCACAGAGCCCCAGATGTGAGGGGGAGTCTATGTATGATTGAAGCTCGCCTTGAATCCCAAGGGCACCATTCACCACACTGCTCTGTCAGTGCTACAGCAGTCTAGGCGTAGTAACTCACGCCTTACCTCAGGATGCCATCACCCATACTCAGGCTTCTAGGGTCTGCCATGAGGAGGCAGGTGGGGTGGCTTGGTCCCCACAGTGGATACCTGTCTCATATGCAAATACAGTTGTATGGGATTGACACTACTGTGATCCAAGGCAGTTAACTAACTGCTTGAACTGCCTTGACGTATCATTATTCTTTGCCTCTTGTGTTATACAATCGTGGTACACAGCGACCATCTGCACATCACTTTCTTAACAGTGAAAGTAAATCAGAAGTGTCAGAATTAATTTATTGTGGTCA